TGTCAACTGTAATTGGAAAATAAATTATTTAAAAAACCCAAACAAACAAGCATCAATTACAATAAAAAAATCCAAAACCTTTGCTAAGTGTTTTTGTCAGCCCCGTGATCTGTCATGTGCCTAGTGATAGCATGGGCTCTGTGGTGACAGATGACCTGTGGTTAGTTCTTGGCGCTGATGGTAGTTCACCGTGTGCCTTGGGGAAATGCTTAACCTTTAAGCCTCAATGAACTCATCTGTAAAATGAGGCTCATAGTACCCATCTATGGGTGGGTAGAGGAGTAAATATGGATTGAAAATAGAATTGATGAAAAAAATGGCATCTCGTTTTTTAAAATAGCATTTCTTTGGTAACTGTAGATGTTGAATATTTTTAAATATTTGGCCATATATTTGTGTGTGTGTGTGTTTGATCTGCCTATTTTTGTTATCGTCCATTTTTTACAAGATATTTTCTTTTAAGATTTTATTTATTTATTTTTAGACAGGGGGGAAGGGAGGGAGAAGGAGAGGGAAAGAGACATCAATGTGTGGTTGCCTTTCATATGTCCCCTACTGGGGACCTGGCCTGCAACCCAGGCATGTGCCCTGATTGGGAGTCCAACCAGTGACTCTTTGGTTCTCAGGCTGGCGCTCAGCACACCGAGCCACACCAGCCAGGGCAACAAGATACTTTCTTGAAGAGTTTTGTAAGTCCTGTCTACATAGTAAAGATATTAACCCTTTGAAACACCTGTTGCTGTGAGCCAGGTCTTTAAGCATTAGCTACCTGTGACTCCAGGCATGGTGCCATGTCCTTACTTTCTTGGCTGCAAAAATAAATACAATATATGTTGCAAATATTTCCCACTGTACATTGTTTGCATTTTCATTATTCTTGCATGTGCTTTCCCAGAAAGTTTTATTTTTTGAATACACTTTTAATTATGGAGAAATTTTTGGAATAGCCTTGAATTTACAGGAAAGTTGGTAGGGGAGTTTCTGTATGTCTTTCACTCACCTTTCCCTAATCTTAACATCCTACATAGCCATGGTGTATTTGTCAAAAACAAAACAATCCCATAAAATTTTAGAGTTGCGTTGTTCATGTGCAGCTAAAAACCAAGCAACTCTGATATAATGATCTTCCTCTGATGGAAAATTTGGTTTAAATTCAGTCAATTGAAATTTGGAGCACATTTTTTTTTTTTCAGAAAACATGACTTTTTATATTTTCCAGTAAGAACACAGAAGTCTATCTAATCCATAATTTTCTGAAACATATCATTGATAGTTTACTAACAGAGCTGTTGGACACTTTTTACTACAAGTAATACTGTTTCTATATGCAAAGACATTCAGGGTTTGGATTTTGAAGTGCTTTGGAGTCTGGTAACTCTACTGGAAGATCTCATTTGTTGTCTGTTCTCCTATGGTTCTGCTTAGCGTCTTACTCTCCCTACTATTAGGCTACTCACTTTCTGAGGCTGAAGGGCAAAAGTGAGAAGTGTGCCTAACATCATCCTTAGTAGGAAGCAACGTGCCATTGGAGCACTTCTGTAAAGAGAGCTCTCTTCTTTTCCTTTGTGAGTTATAGCTTCCCCAGGGAGAGGTTGATGAGGAAGTCTGGTCTGAAATGGTCTTTTCCTAGAGCTGAGTAGAATGACCTTGGATAACTGGACAGTGCAGAGTGTCAGGGCAGGGACCAGGGGTCTGAGGACAGAACTCGCAGAGCCTGCTGCAGGCCTGGGTCAGCCCTGGGGCTTTGTGCAAGATGCTTCCCCACTGGGGGTCTCCATTCCTCATCTGCCAAGCAAGGGGGCTCCAGTGATCTTTTTATGGCTGGATATTTTCTCAGTGATTCTCAAAAACAGGTTTTATTGGGGGCGATGCCTATGTTCGTGATCGGGGTGATAGTTTCATGGTTGTGCATACATGTGTCAAGACTTACCAGATGGCATGTTTTAAATATGTGCAGCTTATTACATGCCATGTGCACCTCAATACAGCTATCTAAACAGATTTCATCCAGCTTCTAGACTGATGAGGGGGTAGAAGAAGGATGAAGCTGTGTTTGATAAGGATCAGTTTATATTGTCGGAAACATTAGTGACAGAGACAACAGTGTTTTCTGGAATTTTCCCCATAGCCGTCTATGAAGGCTTGTGCTTTTTTTCTCCTCTGACTTCTTCTATTTATTTGTTTTTTTTTTTATTACTATTTTCATCCATTCCAGGGACTGTTATTTTTTCCCGTCTCAGGGATGATCCTGGAGTCCTCTCTCTTCTTTGGACTGAGGCTCAGGAGTGAGGGGTCCAAACTCCCCTTGGATCCCCCTGCAACTCTGGGGCTCGTCCCCACTGTCCTTCCCAGGAAGAAAAGTGAGCTAAAAACTGTCCCTGGCACTTCCGGTCATTTCAATTCATTGGGTGGTACTTCTCAGTAAAAATTCTTCTCTGAATTTTTGGAACTTCCCACAAGGTGACAATTGGATGAGGAACTGCTGAGAGGGGGGTCATGGAGGTGGCTGGGGCCTGCCCACTGTCAGCGCCTTTCCCCGACCTCTCCTCTGCCCGGTCCGGCACTAGTCACTCACCATAGACGTGGGACTCTTCCCTCGAAATACGTCTTTGAGCCTCTCTCATGCATTCCCTCTGCTGCCACCTAGTCCAGATGTATCACTTTAAGTCTGGATTTCTCTAGAAGTCTCCTTCTTGGCTGCTCGCTTAGAGTGTCTCTGCAGGACAACCCATCCTGCAAGACTCATCATTCTCAATCCTGCCTTCATCATCGCTTACCTGCTCAGAACCCTTCCGAGGCTCCCCACTTCCCCCTCTCTTCAGGTGGGAGCTCCTCTTCTTGGATTGCGAGGCTCTCTACCATGTGGCCCCGCCTTCTCATATTTTATCTTTCCCACCCTGTCCAAGGTCACGTCTGCCTGAGTGGGGCACCTTTCCTTGCTAACCCAACCGTGTGCCATGTGTTTTCCCAGTCCTCTCTCTTCCTCACGTTTCCCTGCACCTAGGAATCCAGGCTCTCCTCGGCAAATCCTACCCACCCTAAGACTCGGCTCAAATGCCATCTTGGTTTGAACCCAGCCTCTTGGTTTCTGGTTTTTCTGGACACACAAGAGACTAAAACAACAATACCAACAGCAACAAAACAAAACACAAGTTAATCCAGGAGTTTCTTAAACAGAAACACCAGATACATGCCTTTCCCCTTCAGGTAGGTACTTGAGAATTCTAACCAGGGATTTAAAGTGTGTGCAGATTAAGAATATGACACATAGAAGGTAGAGGAAAATTTCCTTGTGTCTATTTGTGGCTGATTCTTGCTAAGCTGAATACAATGTGTGTCAATGACTAAAATGCAATAGAGTATGATTTCTAAAAGTATCTATGTGTATTTTCTTCTTTTGCAATGAAAAGCAAATTCAGATGAATGTAAACATATGTTTATAGACAAGAAAAAAACATCTTTGTTTAAATAAATATTCATTTAAAAACCAGAATTTATGCACCCCTATGTTCATTGCAACGTTATTAACAGTAGTCAAGATTTGGAAGCAGCCTAAATGTCCATCAGTCAATGAGTAGATAAAACAGCGATGGTACATTTACACACTAGAATACTACTTGACTGCAAAAAAGAAGAAAACTTTACCTTTTGTGACAGCATAGATGGACCTGGAAAACATTATGTGAAGTGAAATAAGCCAATCAAAGAAAGACAAATATCATATGAGATTTCACTCATATGTGGTCTCTAATGAACAAATTGAACTAACAAGCAAAATAGAGAGAGACTCATAGAATGAGAGCTGGCTGACAGCTCCGGGGGTTGGGAGCTGAGGGGTGGAGGGATTGAGCAAAAAGAAAAAAAAGAGAAAGAACTCACAGACATAGATAACAGTGTGGTGGTTGCAGGGGGAGAAGGGTGGGTGGAAGTGGAAGAGGGTATGGGGGGATAAATGGTGATGGAAAAACAAACAGAAATCAGATCATGATGCACCCTTCAATAAAAAAAATTTCCAGCCCTGACTGGTGGTTGGGCATAATTCTACAAAACGAAAGGTCACTGGTTCGATTCCGAGTCAGGACACACGCCTGGGTTGTAGGCCAGGTTCCCCCGGGGTGTACTAGAGGCAACTGATCAATGTTCCTCTCTCCAATGTTTCTCTCCCTTTCTTTCTTCTTCCCTCCCCCTCTCTCTAAAAATGAATAAAATCTTTTAAAAATATTTCAAAGGAAAAAAATCAGAATCTATGAAATGATTTTTTTTGTTTAAGGATAAGTTGTAAAACAGGCATTTGGAAAGCTACACACCAAATGGTTATCTTTGGGTGGAGAAATTATTGGTGATTACCAGTAAGTAGAACACTTCCATTTTATTTAAACTTTCCAGTACAAGCAATTGTATTGTCATAATCAGAAAGACATTTTCATTTTGGGAAAAAGCACAGAAACAAAGACATCAATTTGATACAAATGCAGATGGATCACTTTAGAGACAGTTCAAAATTGAATATTAAAAGGCCTTCTGTTTTGTTTTAATATAGAGTGAGAACTGGACGGGGCCACATCTACAGGGAGAGTCCACAGATGTGGACTCAGTGATTGTAGTGTTTAAGGATAAACATTATAAAAATAAACAAATGAGCAAACTAATGGAATGCGATAGACAGGAGGCCCAAGTAATTACTATAAATGTTGTGTCCCTTTTTTTTTTGTCAGAGACCCAGAAAGGGCTTAAACCTCAAGGTCTATTAATCTGGCTCCTATCACTGGGTAGAGCTAGTGGCATTTTATGTTCTAAATCATAAATATGTGATTTGCCCTTTGGATGCTATTTCTGTTAAGTTTGTTATCTCATCGTAGGAATGGAAACAGGTGGGTGTCTAAACCTTGGGAATTTGACCTGCAGGTGGGAATTTTACCATGTGGGAATTCACTTGAGTTCTTACACTGCTGACAGATCAGCCTCAGCCACCGTCCCTATAAATAATTTCAGGAGTGACACCGAATTCTAGACTCTGGGAAGACCTTGGACCATGAGGTGGATTCTGGTTTTTGCTGCCCTTTTGGGGCATATCTACTGTCGAGAAACATTCGTGGGGTGAGTTACGCTTTCTGATACCTATTTGAATTTTGCTTACTTGATTCAGAGTCTCTCACCAGATTGTGGCAGAATCCTGCGTGTACGTGTTCAGCATTTTCAGAGTTCTCTTAGGTTTGGGGCGGAGATAGTGGGATTAATAGAAATGAGTGATGAAAGCGCGAGAGAGAGAGAGAGAGATGGATGAATGACATTTAAAGAAGAAAAAAAAAAAACTGAACACGTATACCCTATTTCTCTCCGTCCTTCCTCATTTTCTCCTCTGATGTTCCAGATGTAGGGGTGAAAGATATGAGTGAAAATAAAGCTGTTTGGCCATTTGTCTCAGTAAGAGATGGGTTATTCTCGCACCTCTCTCCCACCACCTCCCTGGGCGCCCTCCTCCACGTCAGCCCTTGTCCTCCCCATCTTCGGACCTAGTGCCCGAGTAGTGGGGCCTCATGAAGTGGGAAGACCAGGGCGGCAGATTGCAGTCCAACTCCACCTCTCACGTCTTTGTCAGATTCATCTTCGTAGATCATCTCCAAAGTACTTTTGAATCTATAAAGTACAAAGTACAAGAATCTATAAAGGGCTTCAGGTAGCATTTCTTGAAGAGCGTTCCAGGGAACTAACAAAGTGGTCAAATAAATTTGGCCCCTTAAAGTGGGTGGTCAAATGAACTTGGGAATCAGAGGGTTAAATAAACTATAGGATTTCTAGTTTTGTTTGTTTTTAACTCAATTAGCGTGCCCTGTAAATCTATGAGAGGAGACCTAGGTTGCTCCATCTACCCAATATTTTTGATCATAAAACTCTTCCTTACTTTTTTTAAATGCTGAGCAACTCAGCATTTAAACAGCTACTAGTCCTTAGTACACACACCAGGAAATATTAGCCTGATGTATTAACGTTTCCCAGTGACTCTCCATTTTAAAGGAGGACTCCTGGGAGTCTATGTATTAATCAAAAAGAATGAGACTCAAGTAGAATTTTTAGACCGTCTGTGGCAGGTGGACACCCGAAGGCAGGAGGGCTTTGAAGATCTCGCCCTATCACACACATTCCACTTGAGTTTCTTGGCAATTGCATGGCACTTGGTTTCAGAAGCCCTGAATTCCTGCCCCTGTATATGGCTGTGTGGCTCTTTGTGCCTATCCCTTCCCCGCTGTACAAATGAGCAGGGCAGCAACACAGGCAGGCAGCCCACTTGGAGGAAAAGATGGGAGAAACATCTGTCACCAAGGAAGGGCTGTAAGAATCCAGCCCTACTACGCAACTTTTAAATAAGGATATGTGTCTGCGTGTTTTGTAACTTCTTTTTCCTGCTAACTTGTCCTTGATGTCCTTTATTCCCCGTGATATGTGTGTGTGTGTGTGTGTGCGCGTGCGCGCGCGTGCGTGTGTGTGGAGAGGCACACCATGATTTTTCTGTGACCTAACCGTGCCTAGCTATACCCTCTTTGGGTTATATAAATCTCATTTGGAGATGGAAGTCTGATACATTTGAGTTAACAAGAGCAAAACAAACAAACAAACAAAACCACAACTCCCTCCCCCCACACACCACTTTAGGTTTATCCACATGTGAATTCAGTTCCTCTTACAAGCACCAAACTAATTATTCTACTTTTTTTTTTTAAACTTATTTCTGAAAAACAGGAACAGGCAAGTTTTAAAAGCCAGGTCTTTAATGAGCAGCAGGTGTTATTTGAGAATAATCATTAGCTAAAGGAAAGGTAACTTTAATGTCAAGCTTCCTGCTAGGAGCAGGTATACCTCTTAATTATTATTTAGATAACATACCCTTGGGGGAAGTAAAGCCATTCCATCAAGTGCTCATTCCGAGGATGTGGGTCAGTATACTCTTTATTAGTTTCTTGATTGTCAGAGAGATTATTGACTGCTGCATTAACCTCCCGGCATGTGGAGACTAACAAGGGCAGAAAGCTACAGGAAATGGTGTCCAGGTTTTGCTTTTTAAGGTCATGTCTGTGGTTAATATTCTTTAGAGATCAAGTTCTTGAGATCATACCAAGGAATGAAGAACAAATAAAAAGTCTGGCGGAATTGGAGGCTGAAGAAGACCTTCAGGTATCTGTCCCAGACTGGGTTTTGGTTTACTGGAGTGACTGCTCCACAGTTAGACCCGATGACTGAGATCTCTTACTTTGGGCTCTATCTCAGCTTCTCTGACAGTGTGTGGAATGCTAGCTCATGAAGCTGGGATGCACCAAACCTGGGCTCTTGTCCCACCTAGGTGACATGGGACAAGTCACCTACGTTTTCTGTCTCATTTTCCCATTTAGTGTAGTGAGAATAAATAAACCATTCTTCTATCTCATAAGTTTATTGTAACAATGAAAAGGAGACTGAAGTTACTTTGAAAAAATTCTGAACACTTTTGACGTATTATTTCCCTTCTAAAATAATTGATAATATAACATTATTATACAATGAGTTAGATCACTTGAATGTCAACTGTTTAAAAAAAAAAACCTACCATAGTTTTAAATCATCTGTTCCTTTTGCCCATTTTAACAGTAACTATGGGGAAGGGAGGTGGTTATAACACAAATGCTAATGCTTGGCTATTTAAAAACCCTTCTTGCAAAACCACAGCGATTCCACAATGATTATAGCTTTGTCAGCATGAGATAAAATAGGTGTGAATTGACTTCTTGAAATCTATCAATGCCGAGGGTCTGTTTCTCTGGCATGACCTGCTCACTGTCTTGGCCCTTTATCCCCTTCAGCTTGATTTCTGGAAACCGTTCACCACACCAGGCGAGACAGTCCACGTCCGCGTTCCCTTTGTCAGCGTCCAGGCAGTTAAGGTTTTCTTGGAGTCCCAGGACATTGCTTATTCCATCATGATTGAAAATGTTCAGGTAATTACCCCACAGAGCATCCTTCCGGAGGCTTGCTGGTCCACTGGAACCGAGGACCATCCTCCTTCATCCTTGGGGACCCTCTGCCGGGGATGGGACCCGTGGGTGCTACTACGGCTTTCCTGCAGTCTGGGCTACCCCTGCAGATTGCGTAGGGAGACCCTGTCCCTCTCTTCTTTGCATTTGGCACAAATGGGACATGGTAATAAAAAATTTAAGGGAAAGGGCAAAAGAGAGTCTCCAGCATGAAATGTAAAAGGCAAACTGATAGGTATTGGTCAAAGCAGGTAAAAGTGAGGTATTATTCACCTACTTTTTAATTGGAGGTTACCTTGGGCCTTGTGTCTGACCATGGGGCATAGGTGTATTGGCCACCGTATGAGAATGTACTTTCTGAACAAAAGATGAAGCAGTCAACTCCACAGACTATAATAGAATTTATTATAGGGTAATTTACTTCCAGGAACAGTGGGCCAGAGCAGCCAGAAAGATGTTCCAGCAGTTTTGCGCAAATTATTCTCCGCTCCCAGACCCGTTACTGTACTTATTTATTTTGGTGTACCAACGATCGACAGGACAAAGGGACAAAGAATGCTGTAGCTCCAGGGGGAATACCTCTTGGTGGTTTGTGATCAGCGATTTTCACCTGGTGTGCCACAAGAATTTTTAAAATATGCAATGCTTGACTATTTAGTCAGGGGCACTGACCTCTTTTCCCTTCAATTGTCCAATAAAAAAGATGACAACAGCCAACGCAATGATAGCCATCCAGTGTGGATGAATCAAAATTATACCTTTTTTTGGGGGGGGGGGTCACATCGGCAGAAAAATACATTTTTTGGTGTGCTGCAGAATTTTAGTAATTAGTTTATGTGTGCCATGAGATGAAAAAGGTTGAAAATCGCTGTGGTAGATAACTGTTTATAATTGACACTATTACCAGTCTGATATTGATCTTGGTTGTCATGCCATTCTGGATGTTGCTCACAAAAATATTCATTGCTACATTTTAAGGAACGCAGATAATCACCAACTAGAAAGCTTTGATATGCTTGCTAAGGACTGGGAAGTTGGTCAAAGGTCACAGCATGAAACTTAAAACATGAAATGAAATCTGGGACAGAGAGATGGAGTTGGTTTTGTTCGCATCTCCATCTATAGGCCCTGGGTCCCCACAGAGGCAGGATGAGCCATAAGACAACCGGGGGACTGACTGTCACCCTACACTTGCAGCACCTGGCTGGCCAGAAGCCCCATTAATGCCCCGTCCACTCTCAGGGTGCTAACAGAATAAGGGAAAGGCATGACCCCAAAGCCTATAGGACAGGAGAAGGAATGCTGGAGACTGGGGACCCGAGTGTCACCATTTCCTTCACAACTGTATTGAACAGATGTAAATGTACTGCTATAAGCTAATCATAGGTATGATTGGTTTGTCTTAGGTTCTGCTGGACAAAGAGTATGAAGAAATGCTATTTAATCAGAGAAGAGAGCGGAATGGTAACTTCAACTTTGAGGCTTATCATACCTTGGAAGAGGTAGGTGTTTCAAAAAGAACATCTGAGGAATGGGCCATTCTCTCCTCAAATGACAAGACTCACACTTCCATTCGGTGATCTAATGGAAATTATTCTCTTATTTCCGAACTTCTTCAAGTTTTCTGAGGATTTCACAGCCCGTATTAAGTGTCACTGACTTAAGGCAGGGCCTAAAGCCCACCTGCCCATCCGGCAGCCACCCCATTATTTTCGAAGCGTCCAGAAGTGTCTTAAGCGAGGATACAAAAAGCCTCCTGCGATCCAGCGTGCTCTCTGCCCAAGGCCCCCTTGCTGATTTCTGGTCGGTGCTGCCTACCAAGCCATTTGAGAGCTGTGCTTCATGCTGTCATTGATGATAGAATCAGGGGACACCTTGGCATCTCTGACTTCCAGTCAAGGGCCTGGTCTCCCAACATGCCCAAAGCTCCCACACCTCACGGCAGCGGCGCCTCCGCCGTCTTTCCTGAGTTTTGCTGGAGCGGTAACGCCGCCTTCCTCCACCTGAGTCCCATACTGACACCTGGGCACCTGGACAAGGCTGCATAGAACTTTTCTCGGGCCCACTGGGGTCTATTTGCACTGATTTGGGGGTGAGGGATGGAGGGGAGGGGGATGAGGAAATGAGGGGTGAGGGCTTACGGGGAGAGTGGGCGAGTAGCAAAGAGGCAGGAGGAGGTATCTGGTAGGCACCGATTCCCGAACCAGGAATTATAAAATGCAAACAACTCTCAAAACAAAGTCCCCCCTCCCTAATTTATTTGGTGGTACAACTGAATTTGGTGGTTTGACTGAACTTAACTCATGGCGGGCGGACAGGCGGGGTGGGAGGCAAAATCTGACCCGAACTGACTTGCTCATTTGTGCCACTGCCGGAACTATCAGTGTATTTAAACAGGGAGCAATGCCGCACGTGTAGTATACAGTGCGGGCTCTCCACCTTCCTAAAATCTGCCCTCCGCTCCCTCCCCGCCCAAAACCCACTTAAGACTGAAAAATGTGTTTGGCCCCTAAGGGTTTCAGATAAGGGCTGTGGATGGGAGCTGCGACGGAGAAAAGGGAGCGACAGTCTCTCCTTCGCGGGCCTCACAAATTGGCGCGTGTCCCACGGAGAGCAAATGCTGGCAACAGCTGGAGGAGCTGTTTTCATGCTGTTCACTCTCCAGACACGCCCAGACATGTCTCAATCCCAGCCGTAGACGCAGCCTCGGTGTCCCCGCTGCACAGAATTTCAATCAACTTCGCAAACAGGAGGCGATGTAGCGGGTGACAAGTGCCTCTGCGGCGGGCGCCCTGTCGCCCCGGCCAGAGCCAGCCACGCTGCCTTTTGTAATGCCAGCCTCGCCTATAAATCCCATCTTTTGTATTTCCTTTTTCTTTTTCCTTTTTTCTTTTCTTTTCTTTCTTTTTTTTTTTTTGGTGCCTCCGCCATTTGTGTTACTCGGCTAGCGCGGGCCAGCAGCTTTCTGACTCCAGAGCTGGGCGGAGGAAAGCCACAGGCACGCCAGGAAAGTGCCATTTTGTTTCCAGCACAAAACTGGAAAGAGCCGGCTTTGCCGCCGCAAAATGGCTTCCCGGGTTCCAGCCCCTGCAGATGCCCCGGGCCTCGTCTCTCGGCTCTGAGCCCCACGTCCCCAATCCGGCAGCATCCGCCGCGCGGCGCCCTCCACTCTGTCCCGAGGGGATGGAAAGGAGAGAGAAACATCACTAATGGGGGCATCAGATTATTCATTTGCAAATGTCTATTTACTCATCTTAAACATTTCAGATTTACCAAAAAATGGACGACCTCGTGGCTGAGTACCCCGGTCTAGTGAGCAAAGTGACTATTGGCTACTCGTTCGAAAAACGGCCCATGAACGTGCTCAAGGTACACAGGTGCATGCGTCCCGAACCCCGCCGCTCCCGGGCGGACGGTCGCTCCGGCTCCGCCCGCGGAGCAGTCCGTCCCCCGCCCCCCCGCTTCCAACCGGTCCCTGCTGGTTTGGAGTAGCCACCCCCCCCACCGCCCACGCCCGGCGCCCCCCTCCCCGCCTTTTCTTTTTCTCTTTCTCTTTCCTGTGCCAACCAACGCAGGTCTGCAGGAGTGAATTAACGCTCTCTCCTGGGTAGATTCACTCGCAGGGAGCCAGGGAGGAACGCGCTAATAGGACAGAGGGAGGGGGCGGTGGTGCGGGACGCGGGGTGGGCGGAATAGGTGAGGTATTCTCTAATTAATCAAGACGGTAGTTCTGCGCCTTTCCCCTTTTTCTTTCCTTTTTCGTTAAGAAGCAAAAACACCCCCCCCCCACCAGAGGTTAAAAAAGGGGGGAAAAAAAAGCGCCAAAGCCAGAGCCGCGTTTAGAAAAATGAGTTCCCGCATTTAAAAACAAGGAGTTCCCGCAGTGTGCAAAAGGGTGACAGGCAACTAAGTCGCAAACTGAAATGCACAGAAACAGGGCATTTTTTAAGGTATTCCAAACTCTAACAGAAATTTCAAGTTTTTTTCACCTTGTCCTGAAAAAGAGTGAAAGATTTCCTAGAAAGAGTTTGTTAAGGAAAAAAAAAAAAAAAAAAGAAAGAAAGAAAAAGAATGTCACAACTCCCTGCTAAATTTGGAAACGTTATGGCTGAGAACCAAGGGACTCAGGACAGATGGATTTCTCCAGAATGTTTTTCTCAAAGCAGGCCCGAGAGGAGTGGTTTGCCTACTTTGTTGACACTGGGCCACATTTGCTAACATTCACTACCTTCTTTTAAAAAATTTCCTCTTGCCGGTTTCTTCTGCAGCTGGGTCAGGAAACCGCAGATTCCTCCCCTCCCCCCAACTCCCCTCCTTGGATTTTCCTGGCTTTCCCTTCTCTAGGGTGGTTTGTGGTTGAGAATGTTACGTGTTTTTGAAAGTTCCCTGCTTTTTACATTTGAACTCTTTGGAGGAAAAGGCACAGAACATTTTGAACGAAAACTCTCAAAACCCGAGAAATGTAGTTTTTAGCAAGGATTCATTTCTCATTTACCTTATCTCCTGTGTTTAGAGTGCTGCGTGGAGATAGAAGTTGATGATGCAAAAATAATATTTTCTCCCCCATTTACCCATCCAGTTGGCAAAGCGACTGCTCCAAACAAAACTAAGTCACTTAGATCATAAAAATTCAACTCTGGAAAGCACACCCAGAGCCTACCATCCTGTTTTTATGAAGGACTCAAAACGAGCATTTTTATTACAAAATAACACAATCATTGCACAAAACTGGAAAATAGAGAAACAAACTGAAAACAAAAAAGGAAAAAAAGAAAAGAAAAACATTCCCATGTTCCTAATTCCACAACTATGGAATGATAGCTATTAACACGTTGCTGTATATCTATTTCTCTTTTTCTTCTCCCTCTACCTTTTACTCATATGTTTGTGTGTGGACGTATACATACATACACACGAGCATTTTTAAAAAATAAAAATGATCTCATACTATTCTATAACCTGTGTTTAAAAATTTACATCATACAATGAAAATATTTCCATGTCATTACATTACCTGCAATGATTCTTTTACAAATGTGAAAAAAGAGAAAGTCTGTGCTCTCGTTTTCCTGTGCTTAAGCTCACATTAAAGGAAGGGGACCAAAATAATCACGTGAAGTGAGGAGACACTTCACTGAGGAGTTAATAGATGCTTCACTGTCTACACCTCCTCCTCACTCAATCACATCAAGTACAGAAAGATGGACAGACAGGCCCTGGATAAAAGGGAAGGGACTGGGGGTCAGCAGTGGCTGAGCGTTCACATTTCCACACTTCTTTTGCAGTTCAGTACCGGAGGAGACAAGCCGGCCATCTGGCTAGATGCCGGGATCCATGCTCGAGAGTGGGTTACACAAGCTACTGCATTGTGGACAGCAAATAAGGTCATTTTGGCTAAAATTCTTTGCTTATTTTGTCGTTCTGGGATCAGACCCTACCTAACCATGCGGCAGTCCCTGTGGCCCTAACGGCTCTTGCTTTCAGCCCAATAGCTTCCCTTGCCACACTGGTGGGAACAGACTCACTCCCCCTTTTTGGGTACTGCCCCAGCCAGCACTCTGGCACTGTCCCTCGGGCGGGCCACCGTGTGCCTGTTAAAAAGACACAGTGAGCTAGAAGAGATTGAAAGGGTAGCAAAGAAGGACCCCCGGGAGTCCGATTTCAGCATAAGAACAGACAAGAGAAAAATTGCTTTGCTGCCTTGAATTCCCAGGGCTGAGGCACAATGTGCTAGAAATCTATAAAATCGCGGAAGGGGCTCGAGATGGAAAATATAAACAGGTGCTGGAAGAGTTTACTTTGACCTACAGATCCAACGTGGAATTATTAAGGTGTTTTTGGTGGTTCTGAAAATTTTCCAAATCTGATTTTGAAGTCAGAGTGTAGCAATACCTCTCTTCCACATGCTCATTGGAATTAGAGTCCGGACACCAGGCTGGGTATGACCTCGTCTGGTATTTCTTAAGTAATTCAAAAATGACACGCTATAAATCAGAATGTTAATTCATGAGCAAAGGAAATCAATCCACATCAGATCATTCAAGCATGTGCAACCACGTGCATACTGACTGATACATTTTTCCCTTCAATTAAAATGTGGTTACCTTTAGGGTATTATGAAATGGATATTTAACAGTTGAATAATAATGCTTTAGGATGACTGAGCACAGGAAATGAGTAAATTTTAATCCAGCAGAAACTTCAACTCTACTGCAGTTGATTGCAAGTAGAAATTTAATTCCCCAAATGGAATTTAACCATTTCTCTGTATCTGTAGAAAAGTCTCCGCATATTTATCTGATGTTGGTCATGAGTCCTGTTGGAAAGCTACCCTGCGTGGTGATTAAGAAAAACTGCAACCATTTCTTTGGTCCCTGTAAGCCACACACACCATTACCTACCATTGCAAAACGCCTCCCCAGAATTAACAGGGAGAATTCTCCTGCTTTTGAGAGAAAATAGATAAGTAATATCTGATTTTATTTAATATAAGGAAATTATTGTAACCTGAAATAAAAGTACAGACACTGGCATATGAAACACATTAACACTGCAGGTGATTAAACGAAGTCCTGGAAGACTTTCTTTGACTAGCAGTGATATCTAGTTCATGTTTGGAAAAAAACACACTGCCTTAATATTCCGTCCTGTATGCCCCAGTGAAAGGGAAGTATGAGCTTGACATATATGTTGTTGTCTCTGCTCAGATTGCCTCTGATTATGGAAATGATCCATCCATCACTTCCATTTTGAACACAATGGATATCTTCCTGCTGCCGGTCACAAACCCCGATGGATATGTGTTCTCTCAAACCAAAGTAAGCCTGGACTTTTTCTCTTCTTAAAACAAGAATCTAAGGAGCTGTGTAGGAACTCTGAAATCAAAAGTAATCTTTCTGTCCTTGATTTACCCTAAACAGAATGCTAAATCTCTCAGTCGTGGCCCTGAATGGAGGTGTGCAGTGGAATTTATAATCACTTATTCCAGCACACGACGTCTCCGCATATTGCCTCCGTCAGAGACTTATTTCAGCTGTTAGGCTGGGCTATTAGAGTTCAGCGTTTGCCGTGAGTCACCTAGGAGATTTGTTCCAATTATCTCTGTGTTTTTGTGGTAGGATTGATAGAAAAGAGGAGGCGGATGTTACCTGCTGACAATTAGATTTGCAGTGGGATTTAGGTAGGCAGTACAATACATCTAACATTTTCCTTAAAATCTGTAGAAGAAATCCTCTGGAGTATTACTAAAAGGAGTTATGTAGGGGTTTTTTTTTCCCCCTTTTAAAATCTCATTACAAAACACCATTGTGGCAACCGTGACCCCACGTATGTTCAAAATGAGTGAGAGCTTCAAGTTTATTTTTGGAGAGATCTGACTACAATAGCGTTTTTCAATGTGTTTAAAAGGAACTTGTACAAATACTAGTACTCATCTTATGAGATATCCTATGAATAAAGGTTCCACACTCAAGTTTGGGAAATATCGTCCACTGTATCTTTCTCTCTTGGAGTTTCATGAAAAATATTAGAGCATTAAAAAACCCCCGTAGAAGTTCTAAAGTAAATCAGCCAATTGAGCTGTATATTTTCCCAAAATATTCTATCATAAAACCCTTGCTTCCTCCCCACTTTTTTGTTGTTGTTGTTGCGTTTGTTGTTAACATTGAATAGAACTGGTGTTCTAGGGAACATCGTTTCGCAGGTATTCTTTTGAGGAGATGTGAGAATATCTCCTTCTCTGAGTGTGAGACAGCTTAGAAGCTCCAAGCAGAACTCTGTATACAGAAGACTATTGGGCACGGGAAGTACGAGGACAGTGGCAGGGGAAATTCGTGCAGTTCCAAAGGGGCCTTCCGGGAGGACGCAGGGAAATTAACAAAATTCTAGAGAGACCTTCTCATCAGGCTGATTGACCGTCTCCACCCCCTTCCCCCTTCTCTTTTGGTTGGATTTTAAAGAATCGTATGTGGCGAAAGACCCGGTCAACAGTGTCTGGAAGCCGCTGTGTTGGTGCTGATCCTAACCGGAACTGGGACGCAGGTTTTGGAGGTGAGCGCAGGGACTTCCCTCCAGGGACGGTCGGACATTGTCTGGCCGGCTCGCTGTTTTGCATGGCTCTGCAGGGCTGTCAGCCTGCGAAGCTCATTCAGGATTCAAGCCATTTAAAAACCTATTTGAAAAACACTTAACTGAATTCCCTTCACAGGCGCGCAGCGCTGTCACAGAGCTCTGAGCAGCGTTTAATACATTTTGTCTCACATCTCGGTTTTCCCACAAGCTGCAGCCCGGCTCCGCTTCTGAGCTCTCACAGCAAGATGTTGCGCAATGGAGGGAGGCCTCCGGAAGCCCCGAACCAACCACTAGAGGGGGTTAGCATCTACTCGGAGGAGAAGCATTACATCATCTATGGATGCTTCGAGAAAGAAAACTAAAGTACAAATAGGATTAAGAAATTGATTTTCAAAATAGATTCAAAAGAGAAAATATTAGCTGGCTGCTCGGGCTTTGTTGACTTGCGGCTGTAATTTTTCGGAGTTCAGTAGCAGTCTGGAAGGGGCGCTGCTTTATGCTTTCAGGCGTCAGTTAAAACTCCTCCTCTCTCTCTAATCACAGAATTGAAATTTGTTTGGTTTTTCCTTATAAGGTGCGGCAACAGTGAGGGGAGAAACTTTCTCTCTTCCACTGCAGTTTTTCCTAACACCTAGCACAGTGTCTGGAGCATTGAAGGGGATCACTAACTATTTGTAAGACAAATAAATGAATGAGATTCGCTGAAATGAGAAAGAACACACTAGGGACAGGATACAGATGAGTGGCAACTTCATCGATTTTATTGATTTTAAATAGTTTTGTTTTTGTTTTCTGTGGGGGTTTTTTTTTTTTTAGTGTAGGGAAATAATCAAAGCTTCATGTCTGAAATAATGTTGTCCTTATAAAATAACCCTAAAATAAGGCTGGCAGGCTTTATTAGTCCTTTGTTCACATCACTTAGAGACCTCTGGAAGACCCAGAACCTACCCATCCCATGAGAGATTCTCTAGTGTTCGTAACCCCGGCCAGGCCACAGTGGACCAGCTTCAGTGGTTACGAGTAACTCTAGTTGCTGAGAAAATCAAGGCCAAACGTGGCCTTGCTGTCAACTGTAGTTGTGATTTCCTCACTGTAGAAGGGGTGTCAGAGTTTCCCTGCATTTGTGGCTTTGTGACTTAGAAGTGCAGATGCATAGAATCTTCTACTCTTGGACTCGAAGAATTGGAAGAGATCCCAGAAAATGAACTTGCTTAACTCCCACCCAATGCAGGAATTTCATCTATAATATTAAATCTAGCTTTTCTTCCAATAACTCCCACAGAGAGGAGATGATCTAATTTGATAGCTCTTTCTGCCATATAGTAGAACCGTATTTTAAAGGATGTCCAGAATCATTTCAGTTAGGCTTCCTGGCTATGACTTTCTTGCTGATTTCCAGAGAAGGAACTTAGTAATGCGTGGCAACTGCCTTCATACAGCGTCTTCAATCTCACTGTTCTCTTTGGGCTGCTTCTGCATCCCACCAGGCCCTGGAGCTAGCAAGAACCCTTGCTCTGACTCATACCATGGACCCAGTGCCAACTCTGAAGTTGAAGTGAAATCCATAGTGGACTTCATCAAGAGTCATGGAAACGTCAAGGCCTTCATTACCCTCCACAGCTATTCCCAGCTGCTGATGTTTCCCTATGGGTATAAATGCAGCAAGTTAAATGACTTTGATGAGCTGGTGAGTTTCTGAAACTTCATTTCAGCTCAGCCACAAATATCCATGGTGTGGACAAATAAGTTTCAGTCATAAAGTTAGGTACTGAGATGGGGGTGCATTAGGGGTAGGTTATCAAGAGGAGTGAGGCATAGTATGTCTCAGCCACTAAGAAGATTGTGATGTGGACTTTCCTAAATTAAGTTTCTTTAGGAAATAGAATTCGCGAAATTATTATTGCCTTAATCTAGACGAGCAGGACCCTGATTTGAACATAAGTTCCCAGGATGTGTGTTTTGTTGCTTAAGAAACAACCACTTGCATTTGGACCTGAGGCCGTCTTGCAGCCTTCAGGTCCGTGACCTGCCATCATGGTGCACTGGTGTTTGATGCTGCGCATAAAACTTACTTCCCTAACTTGATATCTTCCATTGTCTTTCCTGTTTGAGGAATAAGTAAAGTAGTGGCAGCCCTAAGTCATACGGTGACATCTCAGGTGGCTGCTTACAAATGAGCAAGAACTATCCCCAGCTGAAGAGCATGTGCAAATATTTCCAATTTGGCTTTTAGGCTTAATTTTTGAAACCTGTATACTAGAGATAAGCCCTGAGATGCGACCTTTTGGTTAATTTACTTTCAAATAGATTATTGTCAACAGCTCCTGGCAGAAATGGAATAGATTATTCCAATTCAGGTGTATCTTTCATTTCATCAGCTGGATGTGAGCGCCAAAGGGCAGTTTTCGGGGTTTTGATGACTCAAGGTCAAATTGGGGTGGGGGCGGGGCGGGGAGAATGTCAGAGTTGAAAAGAACCTAAAAGGTACTTTTGTAGAACTAGATCGCCTTAAATTATCCACACCTGGTGCTCAAGTTGCTGCCAGATAGTTGTTCATCCTATGATTGGATGGTTTCCTGGCTTTAAGGAGCCTATTCCATGTTGGGGCATATTTGATTGTTTGCGTTCTTCTTCATAGAGAGCCAAACCAACTCCTTATGGTTTTCACCTGTCAGCCCTGATTTATTGTCTGGCTCCATGGAGCAAGTTTATTTCTCTTTGAGAGGCGAATCCACTAATTACTTGAAGACCAGTAACCTGCTTCTCCTAGGTTTTTCCTTATCTCTGCTATTGTAAATACCGCCAGTTCTTTCAAGCCCCCATAACAGGGTCCTAAGTTTCCATAAGATTCAGGTTGCTATTTTCCGAACATGCTCTGGTTTGTCTGTGTTCTTCAAGAGTAGCTCCCAGAAGTGAATGTGAAACTTGTGCTGAGGGTTAACCAGCACAGCAGAGCGTGACTGTAACTGCCCTCAGCCGGACCAAGCTCTTCTGCTTATGCAGTTGAGGGTCAGTTTATTGGCAGTAGCAGCGGATCGTTGACTCACGTTGGGCTTACTGACAACTGAAACCCCCAGGCTCTCTAAGGATTCTGCCGAGCCAGGTTTCCCCCATCTGGTAATTGTACAGTTGTTTTCCTGGACCCAAGTTTAAGACCTGACATTTATCCCTAGCAAGGATAGTAAAGCCTCAATCAGTCAAAATTGGAACCCTCAAATAATGGAAAATATTTTGCTGAGCTCTACTTCTTGGAAAAAGAGACAATCATAGGGAAATAAGCCAATGTAAGGATATAGCAAAAAAGAAAAATCGCCTTTCTGATTAAATCCTGGGGTCAGTACACATTCTATTGAGCCCCTTGCTCCCACCTATTTCCATCTGCAGCCCTGAGCAAGAAGAGTTTGTGGCAAAAATGACGACCCTGGTCGTTATTAATGCAATATGTGATGATCAGATAAACAATGAGGGTTTTCATGTTGTATTTTATTTTATTTATTTAAAGATGTTTGTTTATTTTTAGAGAGGGTGAAAGGAGGGAGGAAGAGAAGGAGAGAAATGTTAATGTTGGTTGCCTCTCACTTACCCCCTACTGGGGATCTGGCCCACAACCATCCACCCTTAGGTTTGCAGACCGGCACTCAATCCACTGAGCTACACAAGCCAGGGCTTCATATTCTATTTTAAAAGCCAACAAAAGTGAGCTGTGCTTACTTCCCAGTGAACATGGTTGAGACAGAAAGGGCGCCGGGCTTATTCCTCGGTTAACCAGAGACTCCAGTTATCCAGACTGTCCCATTCTCCATTCCGCTATTTGGCACCTGTTCTTCCAAGAGACGAGTGTTATCCATTCACCTTTCCTTGGTTCTCTCACTCTAGAATGAAGTGGCCCAAAAGGCTGTCCAATCTCTGACGAGCCTGCACGGTACCAAGTACAAAGTGGGACCTATCTGCTCAGTCATCTGTAAGTATCTAATGTGTTTTTACAAATGATCCAGTAAGATAGCAAGCACCATGTGATTTGGGGCCAAAGCCTTTAAATGCCCTGATTATAAAATGGCTACCGCTTCATGCATGAAACCCAGCCTTATCCAGTCTCCCTCAGAGAGGCTAGGTCTCCTCCCTGATGTATTTGCTATGCGATACCATGAACAAAGAACTTTCTAAATATGGGAGTTCTGTGCTCTCTGCTCTGCTTGTCCTGATCCTTACAGCTTACTTTTACCATGTGGAATCTCTGCCTGAAAACAGGCCTTTGTCAAGACCTGGTCCTAAGTCACTGCTTTTATTAATTACACCCTTCTTGGCCAGACTTCCTGAAACCCCCCTCTCCCACAGTGGACTGGGATAAAAGTCAGAAACAGCTGCAGTGCTGTGGGACAGCCCAGTGCACCCTCCTCCAGATTCTGAGTCTCCCAAAGGCATCCCTTCGTTTCCCGTGGACACAGCCAGAAACTCAGGACCCTACGGGTGAATGCTCAGGAGTTCCCAAGTGTCCCCATATCCATCATCCTTTGGAAACAGATGCTTCTTAGAGGTGCCCACTCTGTTCAACACACTTTTATTAAGCATCTTCTAAGTGCTAATCATTATGCCAAGTACTGGAGACATAATGAACCCACAGAGTATTTACTTTAATATAGGAGATGAAGAGGAAGTCAATGAACTTTAGTATGACATGTACAATAGAAGGCTATAAATGCTACAAAAGTATGAGAAAGTCGGGGGGATTTGACTGTGGCTGAGTCAGGGAAAGAAAAGCTTCACATGGGGAGAGGGCAGGGTCTTGAAGGCTGATCGCCAGATAGCTAGAGAAGAGGAGAAGGGATGGGGCACTCTGGCTCCTTCGCAGCACATGCGAAGGCGCGGAAGGATGAAACTTGATGGCGGGCTCTGTGAACCACACGGAGGTTGGGGGCTGCTGGAATGAAAGTGGTAAAAGAGGGAGCGGGGAAGTTCAAGGTTTTGTGTATGTACCATGTTAAGGAGATTTGGTGTTTACCCTAAAGGATTCTGGCAACCCCTGGAGAGTTTTCAGCAGGGCACGGGGCATGTTGAGGCGTTGTGTTTCACTTTAGACAGAATACGTCAGCTTCGCTGTGGAGGATGAAGTCATAATGGACTGGAAGCAGGAACATCCCACAGGAAGAGTAGGAAGAGTTCTGGGGAGAGGCGCTGCCCAACTAGAGCAGTGGGGATGGAAGGGAGACATTTAGGAGGTAAAACCACAGGTTTTGGCCACTAATTGGATGTGGAGAGTTTCTCACTGAAAGACACTGCATGGCGCCATTCACCGAGGGAGACATCCCGGAAGGTGAGAAGGGTGCGGTGGGAAAGATAATGAGTTCAGCTCTGGAAATATTGAGGCTTTTTTCAAGTGGAGATGCCTGGCAGGCTTCGGGCCACATGGCCCCGAGATTCTGCAGAAAGAGAGAGAGATTGGGGGATAGCTGGCAAAGAGAGGATGGCTGGTACAGGAGAGCAGGGCGGGAAGAGCCCTGTGGGGAGGAGGGGAGCGCGGTGCTGGGCAGAAGGCAGGTTAGTGGGCTGGGAGGTGACCGAGAACCCTGTGCTTCAGCAATTGTTGGAAAGGAGGCAGCATTTAACAACGACAAAGGCCAGAGAAAGGCCAACTATTACAAGGACAGAATATTTACCATTGGATTTTTCATTGCTAGTGTTAAAAAACAAAATTCAACTGAGTAAATTTGAAGACCTAATTGGCTTTTTAAAGCGATTCGTGAATTGGGCAGCATCCCATCTAACAACCAGAAAGGGCACGCACGGTGGGGCGGCGGGGGGCGGGCGGTGGTGTACAAAATGGAAGGTTTTTATAGGCAGAAAGAGGGTGGACCAAGAAGTTAAGAGCGGATTATTTCAGGCAAGGACACCTTTTCTTAGGGGAAGGAGGGGGGTGGGGGGGTGGTCTTAACAGGCAGATTAACTCACTGGTGTGGGTCAGGAAATTCCAAACTGATTTGTTTAAAATGCCACTCCTGGGAGAGGCTTAGACTGCAATTAGGTTAGGTATTAAATCTAGGTTTGGTGTCATGGGCTTTTACAAGTGATGCCATTTTGGGCCTGTGGTTTTCTCTTTTTTAACACTGGTGTGGGGGAGGAAGAAATTTTCCTGTGTCCTCAAGGTTCTTTCAGCTGGTTTAATAAATAGACATGAGGCAGATTAACGAGAGAAAATGACCAAATTTAATTACCTACATATGTATGGGAACCCCACATACATGAGAGAGTCAGAGACCCCACACACAGGAGAGGTTCAATGGCAGAAAGGGAAAAAATTTTTTTAAAGATTTTACTTATTTATTTTTAGAGAGAGGGGAAAGGAAGGAGAAAGACAGGGAGAGAAAAATCAATGTGTGGTTGCCTCTCATGCACCCTCTACTGGCCTGCAACCCAGGCATGTGCCCTGACTAGGAATCGAACCAGTGACCCCTTGGTTCACAGGCTGACACTCAATCCATGGAGCCATACCAGCCAGAGTGGAAAATTTTATATATATATATAAAAAAATATATATGCAGAAGGTTATTGCAGGACAGTAAGAACAGATGTTCAGTAAACTGAAGTTTGCCCTGCTCTATACATAGGTCAAAAAAAGAAAAAAAGTCATCTCTGATAACCTTTAATTATGGGTAAGGCCCCTAATTCATATTCTAGGTAGTTAAGTGGGGGAGGGCAGAAGTTTTCCTTGAGCTCCCAGGGTCCTGGTAGCTTTTAGCTCAGGACAATCTGCATACCACACAGGCACACCTTGGGGGTAGCTTGTTCTGAACCCCAACACTAGCTTATTGGTGACCTTAAGCAGAGAAGTGTCAGGGGAGTGGCGAGAGGAGCTGGAGGGGTCCCGGGATGGGGCAGAGGCGAGACCGGCGAGTAGACTACTCTTTGGAGGAACCTGGATGTGATGGGAAGGAGAGTAGGAATCAAGGATTCCTTTAAAAAAAAAAAATTTGAAGTTTTAAATTTTACATTTTTTATTGTATTTTTTCCATTCCCGTTTATCTCCCCTATACCCCCCTTTTTTCTTCGGTAAGAGACCTATTTACCGACTGGGGAAGGAGTAAGAGAGGGAGCTGTGAAAGATTCAGGAAAAGGAAGAAATGACCAATGTAATACTGTCCCCGAGCTGGGGAGAAGAGGGGCAAGAGAGGGACAAGCAGAGGGGGGCGGATCGGCCTGAACCAGAGGAGGGGGGTCTGTAGTCAGGCTGCGGGTGAAAGCAGCTTCATCTGTGCCAGGCTGGTGGCAGGCATCTGGGGGTATGCACACTTCGGAGGCCTGGTTTTCTTAATGGGGGTCATTAAAAATAAAATTCAGCCCAGTAAATTTGAAGATCTAATTGGCTTTATTAAGTGATTCATGAGTTGGGCAGCATCCTGTCTATCGACTAGAAGGGCGCTGTGGGGGTTGTACAAGACGGAAGGTTTTCACAGGCAGAAACGGTGGGACGAAGACGAAGTCAGGAGCACATTATTTCAGGCAAGTCCGCCTTGCCTTAGGGGAAGGCAGGGGGTCTCACCAGGCTGATCGCCTCGGTAGTGTGGGTCAGGAAACTCCAAACTGATTTGTTTAAGATGCCACTCCTGGGAGAAGCTTAACTGCAATTAGATCAGGTATTAAATCTAGGTTTGGTGTCATGGGCTTTTAGCACAAGTGATGCCATTTTGGGCCTGTGTTCTTCTCTTTAATGGAGTCTTGGAGAGCAGAGAAGTAATAGTTTACGCATCCTATCTAGAACACTTAATGAACATCCAGAAACTACTGATCTGGTAATATTTCAGATCATGGAAGTTCTTTTTTTCCAGATCATGATTTTTCTTTTCTTTTTTCTATTATGATACATTTACAGACTTCATAGAAAAACAGAATCCAATAACCAAAATTTTTATTTTCAGTTTCAATTTCATTAATGGTTTTGTTAATGAACACAAATATATTAATCTAGTGTGTCCATATAAGAGCATCCAAACCTATAGAGAATTTTTACAATAATTTATTTGCGCCAAACAGAGGACACACCTGGAAGGAAAATCTCAACAGACCGAGAGGATACTAGTTTGCAGTTTCTTTTATGTATTTGCGATTAAGGGGGGAAGCAAGGAAGATTCCATAAAGGTGAGAGAAGGCAAGGTGGAATGGGAAGACACAATCGTTAAGATTGATTATACGGGCTCTCTTGAGGGTGGTCACGCTTTAGAAGGAAGGGTTGGAAAGGTGTGTTAACCTAGATGCACAGAAATAGTGGACGTGGCTTGCTTAAGGCAAAGAGAAGCCATTTGCTGGCCGGGATGAGACTCCACCACGACCTGCCCAGTTAGGAATTTACGATCAGATCACGCTGTGAGATTACTTTCCACAGAACCCCTTTCTTGCCCACAAGCTGTCAGCAGTGCCAGTGTTCCAGTTTGCATGCAGCTCTTTTTCAGTTAACATTATTTCCTGTATACTTTTATGTTTTTCCACTCTAGGTATTTGTTTTCCCATTCTGGTGCTACCCCAGTTATCGGGCCTTCAGACTGTTTTAACTTTTTGTTAAACTGTGCTACTCTGAACGTGTCAGGACAAGCCCCTTTTTCTTTTAGATCTCTTTGGTATGGTATCCCTAGGCAAGAATTCCAAGTCAAATGGAACACACGGCTTTGGAGGTCTCGTTACATGGTTTTTAGGCTATTCTCTGGGAAGGCCGAGCTGCTTACAGTTGCCCAGACTTTCGAAACCACTTTCCTCGTGGGATGGTCCTCTCCTTTGGTGGGGGCACCTCCAGGGAGGGGGGCCTCCTGAGCAAAGGCAGCAGGGCAGAGGGACACATGCTTTCTCTGGGTGGCAGCTGGTGAATGGAGGCTGGAGTTGAAGCCTGTCAGCGGAATGGCCTCAACCACTTTGTAACTAGGAATCTACTTTATCGCCCCCCGCCCCGCCCCTTAGCTGAGGTATTTACAACTAAGGTAGACGTTGGAAGACTGAGGTGTAGTTTGTTTTTCTTGGTAAAGTCACAAATATTGAAGACATTTTTATTTGAAGACATTGAAGCAAATATCAGACAAGCATAGGGTTTGCTGTGTGATTTTTTTGGAACCTGACCATTAGTGGTCAAGCGAGTTCTGGCTGCATCTCTGCCCAGAGCCGACTCTGCTCTCTTTGGCCCTGGCCTCAGTCCAGCACGGGCCAGCGCTGCCCCTGGGAACTAGTCCCACTGAAATGCTTCTTGCCTCCTGCCCAGGCTGGTGTGCAGCTCCGGGCTAAGCACCTGATTCACTCCACCCAAAGTGGCTGGGCTTCTGTGGTGGGTGAGACATTTCCTGGGCAGTTTCTCATCTGGAAAAGGCTGTGAGGAGCTGCAGTACAATGGGTGTTTGTCTAGGAGGACTTGGCTCTGGAGTTCTTCTCAGGGAGGTGTAAGGGACAAAGACATAGACCTTGGGGGCAGGGGCCTGGGTTTGAGTTATCGCTCTGCCACTTTGGAACCAAGTAACCTTGGGCAGGTCACTCATCCTTCCTTGGTTTCTACATCTGTGAAGTGGGTTGTCGAGAAGCTCAAAAGATAGATTAAAAGTGTTCACTCACTCTAAGGCACTGTTTGAATGTTCTTCGTTAGTGTTTTGGTGAGCCACTCTCCTCCAGATACCTCTTCTCCTTAATGTGGCTCAACTTTTTTGATAGGATCCTGGTCATAGTTATAATCATAACTGACGTGTATTGAGTGCCCACTCTATACGCATTAGCCCAGCGCCTTCACTGAGTCTCCTGGGACCTCAGTTTTCTTCTCTGTAAAATGGAAATAGTACTAATACCTACTTCATGACTCGAGTGGTGATTCAATGAACCAATTTAGCATAGTGCCTAACACATTTAGTTAAGCATTCAACAAGTGCTGGAATCATAAACATTACATTATTCCATTTAATTCTCATTGCTCTGCAAATAAGTAGTAGTATTATCCCTATTTGACAAGTGAAGCATTTGGGATTCAGTGAGATAAGTGACATGCCTTGGGTCACCAGCTGATGTTTTGCAGAATCAGGATTCAATTTGATGCTAGCATTTTATGTACTGTGGACTTCTTTTCTTTTCTTTTTTTAAATCCTCACCCAAGGATATGTTTATTGATTTTAGAGAGAGGACTGGAGAGAGAATGAGAGACAGAGAGAGAGAGACAGACATCAATGTGAGAGGGAAACATTGATTGGTTGCTTCCCTGTGTGCTCCCTGACTGGGAATCGAACCCGCAACCTTTCGGTGAACAGGATGATGCTCCAACCAACTGTGCCACCTGGCCAGGGCCTACTATGGACATTTTTGTGGGATTGGCTGTGTCATGTAGCCACACCAACAGCATAAGTTAGCAATCCTGGTACCCAGGAAGATTCAGTTCAAGTCAGAAACCTTTCAGCATTTGCTGTTTACCAGGTGCTACCATAGCTGCTGTGAGTGAAAACAGACACTAGTCACAGGAGTTCAGTGTTAATTCAGTGTTAACCACGAGGCCTGCTCCTCCCTGGTACAACCTTCCTGGTCTTCCCTTTTGCCCAACCACGTTCTTAGGGACTAGGTGACTTCCTCCATCGCTGCTGCAGCCCTCTCCTTCATTTGACCTCTGCCTGCTCTCTCTGGGCGGGGCCTCAGAGCAGGTCCATTACTCAGCTCTTCTGAGTCATGATCGCCCCAAGTCTTTGTAGGCTAATGCCATCTCCCTTCATCATGTGTCTTGTCAGCGGCCATACATTACACAGGTGCATGTTGCTCTTTTGGCTGAGCCTGTCACACCGAAGTACTGGGCATGTTATTTTATACAGAACAAGGCTTGTGCCACTCTTACGCTGCAGGTCCCGTGAGGGCCAGGACCAGTTTTTTCCTTCTGTTTGTAATCCCTCCCCTCCCTCTAGAAGAAAACAGTGTCTACGCCTAGCACTCTTTTAAAGAAGGAAGTGGGGTGGCCTCCCTAAGTTACAGGTGAGGCCAATTAGGAGACCAGGCAGGATTCCAAATGGTGGGAGAAGCCAGAGGCGCTCAGGAACATAGAAGTTATATAACTGTGAGAGACCAGTGGGAATAGCATAACCGACTTTATTCTCATTTGTCCCTCAGACCAAGCCAGCGGAGGAAGCATTGACTGGGCCTATGACTCTGGCATCAAGTACTCATTTGCCTTTGAACTGAGAGACACGGGTCGGTACGGCTTCCTCCTGCCCGCCAAGCAGATCTTACCCACAGCCGAAGAGACCTGGCTTGGCCTGAAGACAATCATGGAGCACGTGCGAGACCATCCCTATTAGGGTTCTGGGGGAATAAACGCCATTGAAAGCTCTCTGGTTTGCGGCAAAGTTGTGGAGCGGTTATTCGTTTTTCTAATCCTGATTTAGGAGGATTATTTCTACAATTTATGTTGCACCGAAATACAGCAAACAACTGAGCTATACCCCTACATCTTTTTTTTTTTTTTAAATCCATCCTTGACAAAATGCTCCCAACATCCTTTCGACATTTAAAAAAAAAGTTGTGGTAAAATAGACATATCGTAAAGTACATCATTTTAACCATTTTTAAGTGTACAGTTCAATGGCACTGAGTACATTTCCAATGTTGTACAGTTATCACCACCATCCACCTCCCGAACTTTTTCATCATCCCAGATGGAAACTCTAGACCCATTAAGCAGTACTCCCATTTTTCCTCCCTCTTATCCCTGGTAACCTCTATTCTGTTCTGTCTCTATGAATTTGCCTAGTTTAAGTGCCACATATAAATGGAATAATATATGAAGGGGACCCGCCAGAAAACTGGAATTTATTTATAAAAAATTGTGTATTCCTTCTTACATGTTTCAACTTCAGTCACCTTCAAAGTACTCTCCATTTGATGCAATACACCTATGGAGACATTTTTCCACAGCTCAAAGCAGTTTTTGAACTAGTCAATTTTGGTGCCTTTTAGTGCTTCTGCTGTTTTTTGTTTCAACTCTCCCACACTGGCAAAATGTTTCCCTTTGAGGACTTTTTCATTCAAAGAAACAAACAAACAGAAAATGTCGCTAGGGGCGAGATCGGGTGAATAGAGAGGATGGGGCAGAGGGGTCATGCTGTTTTTGGTCAAAAACTGTTGAACGCTCAGCTCAGTGCAGGCAGGTGCGCTTGTAAATCACCCATCGTGAAATGGGCAGTTGTGCTGAAGAGTCTTCCAAAAAACTAACTGATGCTAAATGCAGCCTTTCAAGACAACGGCAGCTGGTACACTGATCAGATGGGTTCCTAGAGCACTCACCTGGCAGGGGAAGCCGGTAGCAGGGGGCCGTCCTCCGCAGAGAATTCGGGTTGGCGGGGGGGGGGGGGGGGGGGGGTGGGGGTCCCTGCTTGTAGTATTTGTCCTTTTATGACCAGCTTATTTTACTTAGCATAATGTTTTCAACGTTCATCCATGTTGTGGCATGTGTCAGCCCCTTAATAGAGTAGCATTTTAGAGCTAGAAAGGGACTTTTGAGTTTGTTTATTCAATAAATACTAATTAAGGAACGACATTGTTCCCAGCATTATGTTAGGTACTGAGTCCCCGGGTTCCATTATTGCCTTTGCTTTCCCGCCTCTCGTATGCCGCCTTATAAAAACTGGTGGGGACCCAGACTCATGACACTCTTTCTTTCTGGTTGCTTCACTGAGTGTGAGTGTCAGATTTCATATAATTTCTCTTTAGGCATTTACCTCAATTAGAGGTTTAGGTTTTCTTCATGGGGATGGTTTTCTCTAAAGAGGAAAGGGTGGGAAGTGAATTTCAGCTTGCCTCGAATTCTGGGTTCTTGATTTTTTTTTTTTTTTTTAATTCTCACCTGAGGATATGTTTATTGATTTTAGAGAGAGAGGAAGGGAAGAGAGAGGGAGGGATGGAAGGGGAGGAGGGTGGGGGAGAGAGGAAGAAACATCCATTGGCTTCTTCCTGCACACGTCCTGACTGGGGCTTGAACCCGCAACATTTTGGCGCAGGGGACAACGCTCCAGCTGTCTGAGTCACTCAGCCTGGGCAGGTGTTTGATTCTTTAGTTCACATTTCTTGCAGATTCAGGTCTCTGCTTTTCTTGTTACTAATTTTGAAGCCGAAATCGATCCTGGCGAGGGAGAGCCCAGTCTTTGTGATGGGTCAGGGCGGGCGAAGGAGTTCGCTTTCAGCGTGGGAAGGGTGAAAGAGCCCTGATAGGGACCCCCGCCGCAGCTCCTGCCAACGGCTCTCCTTGACCAAACCTTAGATGGGCTCCTCGGTCCTTTTTTCGACTAGGTTTATCCTAGGGCCCTACATTGGTCTTGGCAAAGAATCCTGCTAAGGACGTTGTTGCCTAATCCTTGATATCGACCAAGTTTCTTATCCTCCCCTACTGATGTTTCAGTCCTTGGCCTGCCTTTAGCAAGAGTCCTGTTAGGCCAGTTAAGTATCCCCCCTACCCTTGAGGTCGCCTCTTAGCAATTGTCCGTCTACTGACCCCTCACTCCATTGTCTTTACGGTATTCAGAGCTGAACACAATTACTTTCTCCTATTACATGATCCCTATTGCAGTAATTTTGAATAAAGTCTTCCTTACAGTTTTAACAAATGTCAGAATCATTTTTCTTTAACTGTCCCAGTCATGGCCTGTGGTTATATCCACTCGCCTTAGCAAGTGCAGAGTTTAGACCATGGGGCAGTGGGATGGGGGAGGCTGGCGGGATTTGGGGCCCCCAGGACAGACTCAAAGGCCTCAGATCCTATAAAGACATCATGGAGATCACAAGGACCTTCCATTTACTCTCCTGTGACTTGGTGGAAAGGACACTAGACTCAGAGTCTAGCAAATGTAAGAAAGTCTTACTATTCATAATACCATTAAGCCTTAACTTGAGCTCAGACCCTAAGGAAAATTGATGATTTACTCAGACTAACACATCTTTCCTATACCTTTTACCTCATATATTTCTACTTGCTCACCGGAGTCCTAAGAGTTATGTGTCAGATTCAAAACACAGGCCACAAACTGTCCTCATTATGACCTGCTCTGGTGAATTCTCTGACAGGGCTTGTCAAGTGTGTGGTCTTGGAGCTGGCTGGGGATTCCTTTGATAGTCTTCCCCCTTTTTTTTTTAAACTCTAGAGGTAACTCTGAGGTTTACAACCTGGCCTCTCCTATTAGTATAAATTCTATTCAGCACTGTGGGAGTTCCTATTTATTCAAAAAACACTATTTAAATACAGTGTTGAGCAATCTATATGGCACCTTTGGCACAGAGTTTTCCAGCCCGAGGAGCAAGTTCCTGATCTTGTAAATCAGGAGGCTGGCCTTTATCACTCAAAAGGAATGGAAGAATCAACCATGCAAGGCTGCTTGGGAATCTCACTAGCATTTCTGAGGAACTGAGTCTGCCTCAGACTCCTTATAAATACAGCTTGACTCAGCCACAGTGTAACTGACGCCCTTGGGACATGAAGTGGATACTGTTCCTTGGGGCCCTTATTGGGCCCAGTCTCTGTGGCCGAGAAGAGTTTCGTGGGTAAGTTCCTTTTGGACTTATTATTACGCAGTTGAATGAATTTGGAAATGAACGGCTGATGATCCTTCAATGGCATGGCACTGAGAAGGGAGACCTGGGCTCCTGTCGCAGCTCTGCCCTGCGTCGTCCTGGACCAGTCACGTGTCTCTCAGGCTCAGCTGTGCCTGTGAAATCAGGACTAGGCGGTCTCCGCAGTCCCTCCTTGCTCCCCAATCTCCTGCCAGTTCTTTTTCTTCCTAGTTCTTACCTGTAAGGTCAGTTCCGGGCATTTTCTTACTCCTATGTTATGCATTGCCAAGGCTTACTGGAAATTGTTTCTAACTTCCATCCTGCTTAAGGAAAAACTTGGGTCTTAGGCTTTTTGGTTTCACCTCCCAGTTAATGGCGAAGGCTCAGCAGAGCTGGTGCTTTCTCATCTGGGCCATGGAGGTTTGGGAGTGTATACCTGTACACTGTGTACATGCATGCTCTGTGGTTTGCAGATGAGAGGGCATGAGGCGGGGGCGGGGGGTAGGAGCGAGGAAAGGGTGCCATAGTACCCTGCAGGAAGGTTGAATTCTAGTAACTCATTACAGCATAAATGCTTTGCCATTTGCAAACTGCTTTTGTGTGCTTTATCTTTTGGGTGACACAACAACTCTGCCAGGCAGGGGTGTTATTTTCCTTAATTTAAACATGAAAAAACTTGGCCTTAGAAAGATTAAGAAACCCACCCAAGGCCACTTAGCTGGTGAGCAGCGGAGCCAGAACTCTAAATGTAAAACCCATGTCCTTTTGCTGTAACACAAGGTGATCTCCAGATAGACTCCTATATCTCACTGATCCATCTGTACCTACTAGTTTGCTCTATTATGCTATCTGGCTAAAGGGACTTCGGGATTGTTTGTTGAGGTAATCACGGTAGTTTCCCTTTATCTGTGGGGGATCTGTTCCAAGACCCCCAGCGGGTGCCTGAAGCCACGGATAGTGCCAAACCCCATATATATTATGGTTGTTCCTATACATACATACTCGTGATAAAGTTTAATTTATAAATTAGAGACAGTAAGAGATTGACAATAATAGCTAATAATTAAAACAATGATAACAATATACTGTAATACAAGTTATGTGCATGTGGGCTTTCCCTCTTGAAATATTTTATTGTACTGTGCTCATCCTTTGTCTTGTGATGATATGAAATGATGTGATGAAATGAAGTGAGAGGCTCAGCATGGTGCGTAATCAAAAAACTTATGAATTGTTTATTTCTCAAATTTTTTATTTAATGTTTTCAGACCACATTCTCAGGTAACTGAAACCGTGGGAAGCCAAACCGCGGATAAGGGGGAACCACTGTACTTCTAGGAAATTGAGTAATTTTTATGGTGATGGTTTTTGTTCACACCTGGCGTCTACTGTCAAGTAGCTTAGAGGTGTCAGGCACGGCAGGTGGCCAGGGAAGGAGATTGTTCTTCAAGCAGCTCAATGTAACATCCACGCTTGCTGCCATATGGGCTGCCGCGTGGAGCTGTTAGGCTCCCATGGCAGCTCTTCACTCTGCTGAAAAATCTTTATTTCTCAGGATACAGACTTCTCCTGTAATGCAGCAGGCACCTGGGTTGAGACAGCTGCGCTAGGCCCTGGAGTCCTCACCGCAGGACGGGGCACAGAAAGGGCTGCGTGCCTGGGCTGATTGCGGGTGGTTTTAACCAACAGTACCATCCTCACCTCCCCCGACCTGGTCTCACCCCATAGTAGGGAACCCAGCAAAGGCCATGGAATCCTTCCTGGGCTCCATAGACATGTCCCGGGCGGTGAACATTTATTTTATTTTTATTTTTATATTTTTCCCCAGAGGGTGAACATTTAGAGCAAGGGGAAACTGGCCTCTAAGCCCGCAAGTAGCTGGGAAGCCAGGACGCGGGTCGGCTTGGAGTGGATACAGTGCTGAGGAGGTGAAGATGGTGGTTCCCGCCCCCAAACCTCCACCAGGAAAACCCCTCTCCATTTCTAGCTTCTGTTCTTTCTACTCAACTCACCTGCTTCCCTGTCTCTCTCACTCTGCTGGCATCTGCCGCCCTGGTCCTCAGTCCTCTTAAGGATGGGATGGGGGCCGGGATGCCTGGAGGTGTGGGGCAGGCAGAGAGCAGGAAGCAGTTGCGGAACTGGTTGCATAACATCAGCAGTAGCTGGCAGACATGTAAGAGTTCTGTGCAGCCATCTCTCAGGGCTCGTGCTGGGTGCTAAGCCTGGCTGGGGTGCAGGTGCGGAAGGCACAAAGACCAGGCCACCTGGGGAGGGAGAGAAGCACGGCACCAAGGTGACTTGTCCAGCACGTGGGATCACTGCCCATGCATGGGCAGCAGCGGGGCAGCCGGGGCAGCGGAGAGCCAGGGTTAGGAAGAGCTGTAAGAATACCTGTGGGGAGCAGAGGGGTGAGCGTGGCAACCTGCAAATCCTATCACATCCCCCCTCCCAGGCCAAACTTCCATAGTCGGTACAAGCTTAAGGCCTTTGAATGGGCTTCCAGATGATGGAGATAGGTTGTGTTCAGCCACGCACATTGGGAAGGACATTTTCTAAGTAGACAAGGACAACGAGGACAGGAAAAAGGCTGCGCTTCGCTTGGCACCCATTTATGTTCTCTCTGCTTCCAGGTTTTGATGGACTTGGGTTCCTGTGAATGATGTTAGACAATCCCTTCTCCTCAGTTTTAGTGTCACCTAAAGACTGCCCCTCACTTGGCCTCCTCTGGGTAGGGGAAACCTCATGGGTAGTGGGAGCTGGTCCTAAAGCCTGAGTGGGGGACTGCCAGGCAACTCAGGAAAAGGGCTGGGTGTCCAGGCAGAGGGAGCAGCACGCGCAAAGGCAAAGAAGGACCAAGTACGCGGCGAATTTGGGATTTCATCGACGCTGGGGCCAAGAAGGTACAGGAAGGGGGGTCAGATGGGCGAGGACTCAACTCTGCACCAGCCCTTCGTCGATGTAAAAACGTCCAGACCTGTAGAGAAGTTTTATAAGAGTTGAAGAGAGTTTATTTGAGCCAAGCAGACAACATGCAAGGGAAGCAAGTTCTCAAAAGTTCCAGAAAATGACGGTTTCGCAGTTTCTTTTATCCACTTGGAATTGAGGAGGGACGGTAAGGAAGATTACATGAAAGTGGAGATTACAGGATAGTTAACAAGATTATGCGCTCCCTGGAGGGGTCTGAAAAAGAGGCATTCCAAAAATGAACAGGGCTTTGCCTAAGGTGAAGATAAACCTTTTATAGACCTGGGACGTGACTACCCACCATGACCTGCTCAGTTAGGAATTTATGATCAGATTACTCTGTGAGGTTACTTTTGGTTACACGACAGAGCCCCTTTTTGTCCGCACCTTCCCCACCGCCTCTCTGAATGCTGCAGCGGGGCTCTGCAGCTGGGCTCGCGGGGGCGTGTGACAGGGCTGTGGGTTTCATCACCGCCTGGCCGGTGCGCTTCCCTGGGAGCCGCTGTCGCCGTGGCCTCCCAGGCGTGTGGAAGTTCTGCTGTGAAGTAACCCCTGCGGAAAAAGTAAAACGAATGCTCTGGGTGAATGTAGAGCCTGACTTTTATGCTTCCGAGGGCTCCTTCGTATGTTCCTCTTTTTCTCTCCTCCTGGCCTTCCCCCCTCCCCTGCTTCTTCCTGATTGCTCTTGTCACTGCTGTCTTTGACAAGCGCCTAATTTTGCCAATATCGGCACACAGGCGCTTTCTAGAACACCGCTTGTAAGGCGTTCTTTTCCTGCAGTGTTGGGGGCGGGTTGTGGCAGAGCAGGAGTCTGGCAGATGGGTCCTGGTGTTCAGCCAGGAGTAAGGATTTCCCTTCTGTTTTCAACTCTTCCCTTTTCTGTGAGGCAGCCTGCCTGTGTCTGAGAAACGCTGGTTTGACTCCTCATCGTCCCAGAGCTGCAGTCCAACTCCTTGCAGGCCTGTAGGGTTCAGACTGAGACCTGCCCAGCCAGAGGCTTCTCCACAAAGGCCCCAGCAGCAGCCACGCACAGTTAGCTGCCCACCTCCCAGGACCCTGGGGATGGCAGGCGAGTTGGGAGAAAGTGAGCCTTTGGCGCTGACATTTCCTCCAGACCCACCACCTGCGATGGGAGCAACTCTTCAGGGGACCTTGGGGGCTGGACTAGACCTTCCCCGACCCCCACAGAAATCCCGGAGAAGCTTCCAGAACAAAGTTACACCCCGAGAGTGCATCCGGATCAGGCTGGCTTTCAGATGAGATGCTGATCCACCACGTGAGGCTGCACGTTTAGCTCCCTGTGACAGAACCATTTTCTCTGTCAACAGGTCCTTCAGCCCACAGCTCTCTCCACCAGCTCTTCCTGCATTCATTCATGTCAAAGGCATGACGCATGTGACAGCGTCGAGTGCGGATTTTTTCGGCCCGTCACCTAGCAACGGCTTAATGGCTCCCCTGGCTACTTGAGCCTGCCGAGAGCACAAAGGCGGCTTTTCAGGCTCGGCTGTCTCCCACCCACACACAGGACTTCGGGGGGCCTCTACCCCTGCCGCTGCCGTGGATGCTAAATAGTGTATATGAAACAAGCGCAGGACGAACAGCAAGGGGGGCTCGGGACCAACCCCCGCCCAGCCCCCCGCCGGCTCCCCTTGGGCCCTGTCCGGCCCCCCTTGTGAGGATTGAGTCCCGAGTTCAGCCTCAGCCCCTTGGCCCTTATCTCCTCCGCATTTTTATAGGGTGCTGGAGCTGGATGAGCTTGCAAGAGCACCCAGCCTGTCCCCTGTTTGCTAAGAGGAAAATAGCTTACTCTTTGGGGACGGAAGGTCTGTTTTTTTTCCCCCCCAGCCCTTCCCAGCACGGACCCTGGGCCAGAGTTTCAGTCTCAGCCCCTGACAGTGAAGAAGTGCTTCTTTATGTCTTGAGTTAGCTTTGCGTGTAACTCAGGAACATTCCTTTCTGCAAAATATATATGTTTTTCATTATAAAGTAATATGACCACATTACAGAAAACAGATACAAGGGGGAAAAAGTCAGTCATCCATAATCCCACGACCCGAACATAAGCACTGTCAGCATTTGCTATATTTCCGTTGTCTGTTTTTCTTCCAATGCATCTGCTTTTTCCATACTTGAGATCATGGCATACATACAATTTTGTGTCCTGCTCTTTCACTTAATATTTCCCTTAAAGTTATACCATAAGCAGTTTTTCATATTTGCCACGTAGTCTTATTTTTAATGGCTATACATTATAACCAAAGACTAGACCATTTCCTCTCATTTGGCGCAGTTATGTCTGGGACTGTAGGCTTGGGGTTTATTTGCCAGCCAAAAGCTCACCATTATCTTTGGCTTTCTTTTCTCTCTCTCTCTCTCTCCAGGGACCAAGTTTTTAGAATTAATGTCAGGAATGGAGACGAGATCAGCAAACTAAATGAGCTCGTGAATTCAGACAACTTTAAAGTACGTGGTCCTCTTGGGTATCTTCTGACTTTGGTGGGAGGACTTGCACCACTGACATTATTTCTGAAGAGTTTCTGTGTGTACACCTGTGCTGGTCAATGTGCCTCCCCCTCGCCTGGAGGGTTGATGGCGGAGAAGGGCGGTGGTGTCATGGCAGGGCTGGGAGATGGGAGGCCTCAGCAGTGGGCTCCGTCTTCACACCTGCCATTGACTTAGCATTTCCTGGGCTTTGCCGGGTGTTGCCTGCTGGACAGGCCTGACTGGATGCAATTGTGAAATGGGCCCAGTTTGCCCTTGGGCAGGACTCAGCTCCTCAGGCATCACCCTGACTTTTGGCAGTTGTTCTAGAAGAATGAGCTCATTATGCCTTTTACTGATCTGTCCTTTAACCTGGTTTTCTTTCTGTTATCTTCAGCTCAACCTCTGGAAATCTTTCTCCAACTTGGGGCTTCCCGTGGATATCCTGGTCCCGTCTGTCAATCTGCAGCCAGTCGAGTTCTTCCTCAAGTCCCAAGGCTTAGATTACTCAGTGACAATTGAAGATCTGCAGGTGGGTAAACCAAGGCCCCTCACTTGTCTTGGATAGGACACAGCAGTCAGCATGGATCTGAGACATTTTGAAGTGCCAGCCTTATGTTTCTCCATTTTACAGACGAAGACATTGAGGTGTATGGAAGTTAGGTGCAATGACTTGTTAGAGGCGCGTGCTGTGGTAGAAAGGGTATGCACAGGGTGGGGAACCAGGCAGATCTGGACCAAATCCTGATTTTGTTAACTACTAGCTGCGTGACTTTGGACAAGCTTTTAACCTCTTTCTATCTTTTAAAAAAATACTTTTATAAAATTTATTGGTTTTTAGAGAGAGAGGAAGGGAAAGAGAGAAAGGAACATTGATTTGTTATCCCATTTATTTATGCATTCATTGGCTCTTATTTTATTTTATTTTTCCATCACCATTTATCCACCCTGTACCCTCTTCCACTTCTACCCACCCCCCCATTGGTTGATTCTTATATGTGCTCTGACTGGGGATTGAACTTGAAAACTTGGCCCATTGGGATGACACTCTAACCAACTGAGCTACGTGGCCAGGGCAAGATTTTGACCTCTTAAGCCTTTGTTTCTTCATTGGTAGACTGGTAATAGTGATAACTACCTCATACGATTTATTGAGAAGAGTGATTAAGTGTATGTAAAATGTCTAACAGTGCCTGGAATTTCAGAGATGCCCACAAGTATTAAGCCTCTCTCCCTTTTCTTATTTGAAGTCAGGAGGGGAGAACAGAGTGGGGTGGGTGTTGAAGACCAGTCATAAAAAGTGTCCTTTGAGAAAGGGGGGACGTCACCAGCAACCCCAGCAGAGGGAACATTGCCACCCTAGCCAGGTACCAGCCTCACGACCTGTATCTGAACAGAAGGACAGTGTCTGGCTCATGTCCTCCCCTTCATCGAGGTGGGTTATGGACTAATTGGTGATTTGGCCTGGGAGTTTCCTGATGGCATGAGCAGCTGTGAGCTTATTAATCATCCTCACATGTCATACACATCTGCCAGGAGCCTTCAAAGTATGAGTGGTTATAAGAATTTCTTTGTTTCTGAATGGTTTCCCAAGCTGTATGTTTCAGAGGCGCTGGATACCAGATGCGGGCTGATGTCTACAGAATTCATAGTATAGAATAACAAAATAGCACATATATTGCTTCCAGGGAGTAAGTAGGTTTTGAATGGGGTAATGTACAATAGGCACCAAGGGGTAAGATTTTATAGGTATGTGCAAGATGTCTGATCTCCTTTTACACCTTGACACCTGTGCTGTTTGACATGTGTGCCGAAGGTGCCGCCATCTTGGTTGGCCCATGGGCCAAGGTGTGGCAGAAACAACATGGACCTCCATCTCCAACAGGCCACCTCACAGTGTTGCCATGTCTGTTTTAGGTCCTGTTAGATAAAGAAAATGAAGAAATGCAACACAACGAAGAGCAAGAACGGAGCAGTAATAACTTCAACTATGGGGCCTATCATTCCCTGGAAGGTGTAAGTGTTTCAGAGCAGGTTAAGATCAAGGTTAAGATCAAGGTTATCAGTCTCTTGGGTTTTGTGACCTGTTTCCTTACTTCCAGGAGGGATTTGTCTTTAGCACGAAGTCCCTGCACTGAGGGGCTAAAATGTGTACATTTGGATTCCTTTCTAATTCTTGGATCGCTTAACTCCCACCGGCACCTAAGAGCATAATGAAAAGACAAACTGAACATTTTTTTCCACGTGCGTCATTCTTTTCTGAAGCAACCCCTTAAAGGAAGCCATGAAATAATTGCAATCATTGCTAGTGCTTGGAATTTAACCTCCTTGTACCCCACCATAATCCTTGTATTGTATTTACCCAAGTTAAAATGTTACTTATTCTAGGCAAATAGACAAGTGGTTATTCCAAGGTTAACCAAGCATTTCCACTCATTTATCATGACTACTTATAACATATATTTGTTCCATAATACATTTTGGTGCTGTGTTTAGTTAGAAACCACTTTATAGAGACGACTGACTTTCAAGGTAAGCCAACCCTTCAAATGAAAAACTTGGAGCAGAATAATTTAATATGATATTTCAATTTGAGGAATCAATAGGAACTAAGAGAATGAATTGTATCATGTACAATACAGTTCTCTTATCTCCCTCAATGTCTTCTTCATTAATCTGGAAACTACGAGCTTAGGAACGCACCCCAAATCTGAACTGGTGTTCCCCTTCTCATGTCCCAGTGCACGTTGTTCTTTGCATCCCAAGATGGTGCTCCTGGCGTGCTTTCATGAGGCATATACTTTGAGTTGTTTTTCTTCTAGTGAGTGAGGACTTCAAAGTCTGACTATTTGTACTTCTTTCTCATGATTATCAGTAGCTTTGTTTATTTTGTACACTTTCAACTGCACTGCCCCTTGATCCTTCTTGTGACCACTGACATACATCTGCAAAACAGCTGGACAAAGTCAGGAGTTCAGAACAGGGCCAGGGACAAAAACAAGAGTTCAGGGTCCAAGCAGAGCTCAGGGACCAAACAGGGATTAAACCCAGGATGTTAGTTTCTTTAACACTGGACACTCCCTAGCTGGCTAACCAGTTGCAAATGTCACAGAAGACCCTGGAAACTGCATCAGCTCATCTCCCTGCCATGGAGCCTCACTTCCGTATCCACTGGCTTTTGGCTTTTGTCCTCAGGCCTAGGTGCCATAGTCATCAGGTTGACAGCTATCTCTTGTTCCCTGAGGGGCCGTTTACTGTGGATTGGTGTACCATCATCTCCCTTTGGCTTGATCATATTCAGTTTTTTCTAAAAACACCTTTTAAGAGCTCATATCCTCCAACCACTTGGCTCTTAGTTCTCTAGTGGTACTTTCGTGTTTGTTTCTACCAGGGTTTCTAGTTTCAGACCCTTTGTGTGTGTTGTGGCTGTTCTTTTTGTTTGTTTCTCAGGCGAGCTTTCCTCTGATGTTGGCTGTGTGAATTTGGACCCCCTCGCCTGGACTCAGCTTGGTGTTTTTACATTCCCTGGGACTCTCTTTCCTCTCATGGCTCAGGGCAGGCATCTGGCTTTTGCGCCACTTTCTAGGGTCACTGGATAGAGTTTCCAGGCCCCTTTCATGGGCTATTGGCCAATTACCAGTTCTCAAGTTCTAGCTCCTGGCCCCACACTGGGTCCTGTGCCCCCTATTTCTGTCCCTGGTTTGCTCTAAACCCTCAGCACCTAACACAAGTGTGTGGGCTTCATCCTGGGCCCTCCAGTTGGCCAGCGTGTCCTCTCTTCATTTCTGGCACCTACAGTTTCCCCCTTTTTTTTTTGGCTTTTAACTTGGCTGTGAATAATTTTCACTGTATTTTATCTGGCTTGCTTATGCATTTGGGGGGTGGTTTCTTGCTTCAATTTGCTGTATTGACTGCAACTCTGATAAACCCTTTGAGCTTGAAATTATTCTATGTATTGATTGCACACTTGCCTCTTCTGTAAAGGTCCTTCTTTCAGTTTTAGGTCTAAATATAAATTTGTTTATTTCCTTCTGTTGACCCTCAAAAGGTTTGAGCAACATAGATGCATGAACTCTATTTAAATCCTTCATAGCCATGACTAACAGCTCTTCACTTGTTCTTGGAAAGCCTAGAGGGATCATCTCCAGCTGGAGGGCTGTCCACTGAGATGGAGGGAGGAACTATTGCAACTTCTACATATATATTTCTTCATGCAACCATTAACATTTTTGGTTTTATAATGTACCATATATATTGTGTGTGTGTGTATGGACCTTACACACCTGAATGTGTGTATATATATAATGTTTTGTTTTTTTTTTAACTGATGGAGAAGGTGATCAAAAAAGTTAGGAGTGCACTGATTTCAAGAACCTGGGTTGAACGGTGCCGTATAGCCAGTTTACTATGATTCGAAGGGCCACGTTGTTGGAGCGGTGGATTAGTTTAGTGGGTTGTAATTTTGTGGGTGGATACAAATGTATTATTCTCTAGAAAACTGTAGAAAAGGACTCTTTAGGCACTTCTTCAAGAATGAGCATTCCGTGCCGATTGTGTTGTCAACCCCAAAGTTAGGGGGCTGGAAGAAATCATTAAGATCAACAACATCAAGTTCGCAGGTACCTACCCAGTGTGGAACAAATTTTAAAAATGCCTCTGGGTTCACTTTTTCACGCTTCAGATTTATCAGGAGATGGACAGCATTGCCAGACAATTTCCTGACCTGGCGAGCAGGGTGAAGATTGGACATTCGTTTGAAAACAGGCCGATGTATGTACTGAAGGTGAGTCCCCACATCCTTAGCAGGGCCGCACTGGACAGTGGCTCCTGGTTCCTTGTGCCAGGGACCCAGCTATCAGACCCCCACCAGGTCTGAAGGACCCCTTTGACTTCAGAGAGGAAGGTGAGGTTGAGCAACTTCTACCAGAGTGCAAATTTGGTCTGCCAGGTAGTCCACCACTTGCACATCTCATTCCAAGTTTTGACTGAAAGGCAGGATTCAGGAGATGCCTGAGGGACAAGGCGAGTGTTTCAGAAAGCTCTCCGATAGGCCATAGTCCTTGGCCTTCATCCCCGCCTGCTGTAAATGGCAAGACACATTGGGAGAGTTCTACAAATTCTATTCTGCTTCCAGGGGTACTTATTTGAAAAGCCATCTAGGAAGCTAATTTTAGGGCTGATGTAATTTTAAGCCCAGCCTATGATCCTTGGCTGCACAAAGCCTAATTTCCAGATATTTCTAACAGATTCGGGTCTATATTGGCAAAGGAGGTAGAGAATTTATGGCAATAACAGAAATCACATAAATAATCCAGCCGAAGGAATAAAAAAGAATTTGGAGATACGAACCATGGAATGACTGACGATGCTAAGAGTTTGTCAAAGCCTTAGCTTCCTATCAGCCCCGAAGAACCAGGCTTATAGCAGTAGTTAAATTACCAGTGAGAGGAGACCTGCCGCTGAGCTGCTTGCTCTGAAGTAATCTTTATAAATTTAGATTATTTGCCAATCTGATGGAGACCCTGGCTTCGTTAGCACCAAGCTCTGTCCTGGGCGGGGGGTGGGGAGGGCTACTAAAAACCAAGAGCCAGAATTCATTTAATGCCACTTACAGAGAGCTATAGTGAGCCCCCTCTTCCTCTTTTTTAAAAATTGAATTCACTTATTGCAGCAGCCAGAGCAGGCCGGTTCATGCACTCCTGTCTCTCTCTGTTGGGATACCATTTGAGGGTTTTCAAGGGACACAATATTATTTCTAATCACACTGGCATTATCATTCACAATAGCAATTGTTTCCCCTTCCTATTTGCTTCCAACCCTGGAGCTGTGGCTGGGCCCGCCCGCCAGCCAGCCAATTAAGCTCCCTAGTCACGGCTAAACTGATAAATAGATGGTGACCTCAGGAACATTTGGTCTCTGAATTGTCTTAAATAGATTAAATGAATAGGGGCGCGCTGGAGAGGGGAGAGGTGAGCTGGGAATGGGGGCAGGAGGGTCACTTTCTTGTCTCTTTTTCCCTCCACAGTTCAGCGCGGGAGAGGGCAGTCGGAGGCCGGCCATTTGGCTGAATGCAGGCATTCATTCCCGGGAGTGGATCTCGCAGGCCACCGCCATGTGGACCGCGAGGAAGGTCATGTCGCCTGGTATTAGGCCAGAATTCTGGTGGGCCCCGGGCGCTCCTGCAGCCTCCCATGAGGCTCGGCCCGGGGATGCGGTGGGAAGACCACAGTAGGCCAGGGGCCTTTTCATTTCAGAGAAGCCAAAGGTCAGAGCTCCTTGGTCAAGCCACTGTGGCTAAATGACAAAGTGCATTCATGGCAGTGAGCAAGCTAATGAGCTGCAGAGGTGGCCCCGAAACACTGACCCGTGGTCAGCCCTGCAGGAAGGGAGTGGGGCGTCGTGAGCAGCAAAACTCAGATGAGCTTTGCCTTCAGCCCCTTCCCAGTGCCCCACGCCCTGAAGGACCTCGTGCTGCCTCCTGGTGCCCCTGGGAAGCCTGCTGTAAGCCAGCCCCGGGAGAGGAGGGGTGGTGTGCGCGGAGGATCCATCTTCCCTACCCCTAGCATGGGGGCTCAGATTCCGAATAACTGCTCTGATGTGTGGCCCTCCGCGCCCCTGTTCCCACCCTGGAAGGAACGAATAAACCAAACAACCCAGGATTCACTGCAGTTGATGCCATCCTGCAGCCGTGTGCCCCCAGGTTTTCCGGTGCTCTGAGGACTTTGCAGAGAGCTGTGTCTTTGACGGTGGCAGGGAGGCTGCAGAGGGCCCTGTGCCAGCAGCTGGGCATCTAGGGGAGATACGCGGGCTTAGACCTAACGATTCAGCCTGCGAAGGCATAGCTGACAAACTCGGTATGTCTGCTTAGATTGCATCCGGTTACGGGAAGGATCCAGCTGTCACCTCCATCTTGGAGAAAATGGATATTTTCTTGTTGCCAGTGGCCAATCCTGATGGATATGTATACACACACACTCATGTGAGTAATACCAAATGGGCTGCTCGGAGTTAAGACTTGTTTGTTGAATTCCTTGCTTTGCCACTAAATATTTGCATGACCTTGGAGAACGCTTCCACAATGTGTGTGTTATGAGCTTCCTTGGGGGTCTCATTCTCCAGCCATTCTCTCAGCTGAGAATCACCAGGGAATATTTTTTCTTAGTGAGACTAGTCTAATAAACTTCCTACATGGATCTTGAATGATTATCAGCGCTTTACCAATCTTCTTTTCATTCCTTTCCCTCCCACACATATTTTTTCCTGACATTTTAAAGCAAATCCCAGACATCAAGTTATTTCACCCAAAATTTCTTTAGTGCATATCTCTAGCTAATGATAGTTGAAGAAACAAACATCATACCACTATCACCTTTAAAAAAGCAATGGAAATTCTTTAAGTCAATTTGTTGAAATCAGGATCCAAAAAAGGATCCGTGTCTGCACTCGGTTGTTATGGCCCTGCAGGCTTTTTTATTCTATAATAGTAAGCACCATCCCACACACATGTCTTTTAAAAATATCATTCACTTTTGGAGAAACCAATTAAATTGTCCTGTAGCATGTCTCGCATTCTGAATCTGGTCGCGTACCATTGAATTTGTTCTCTTACCCCTGTATTCCCTGTGTACTGGTAATCAGATCTAGAGGCTTGGCTGGATTCACAGGACTTTTTTAGGCAAGAACACAGTAGTTGTGCGCTTCCAAACCCATCGCTGATCATTCAGGTGTGTAAGGTCCATTTGTCCCACTTTTACTGAAGCCAAACATTATTCAGTGGGTTCAGGTGCTATCAGCCTGGTTCCTGTACTATGAAATTCTCATCAGGGCATTTTGAAGGAGTCCCTGTCTCAGAGCCCTGAGGGCTCTGAGGTGAGAGGACAGGAGCCCCGACGATCCTCCGGCAAGACAGCAGGCAGTTCGTCCCACCTATGGTGCCATTTCCATCTTTGGCCCTAAAAGGACACCTCGGCCTCCCTAGTGCCCTGACTCATCTCTGCATGTCTTGTCCCTTCCTTGGTGGATTATTCAGAACCGACTTTGGAGGAAGACACGGTCCCTCCATCCTGGAAGCTCCTGCATTGGTGTTGATCCGAATAGAAATTGGAACGCTAGTTTTGCCGGTAGGTTGGAGAGCCACTTTTCAAATCCTGTTGTCTCCGGGTCGCCTGGTCCACAGGGCGCCAAGCTGGCTCCATTGCTGATTCACTGGGAGAATTCACTGAGACGTCACTGAGAATCCCTTATGCCCTCCATGTCTCATTGTTTTTAAAAATTTTTTTTTCTTTTATAATTTTGAAAGGGAACGATTCAGCAATTCCTATCCTCTCGAGAGAACGCTAATATTGAAAACCCATCATAGTCTTAGACATACATAGCCGTGCCTCTTCCTTATACCCTGCTCACCCCAGCTTGTCCTGGCCGAGTTACTGGGGGTGGAGGGGCTCCTGAGGCGACCCAGAGGGGAGCAGTCAGCGCGGTTGCTGAAAGAGGCAAGATCACATGTGGTAAGAATTAAACTCCAGCAGTTTACCCTTAGATGTGTAAATATGAACCTAACTCTTTGATGTGATGGAAAGACAATGAGAATTAGGAGACTTGGGTTCTGAGTTCCCTCTGTTTAAAAACCATCCTCACCATCATGCCAACTGTGTGTCAGGTACTTTCCCATGTATTATTTACAATTCTTCCGACCGAGTGAGTGAATTTTATTATCTAAAACGAGACAATGGAAGCTCAGAGACAATCTCAAGAGTTTATGGTTAAGAGTTGGATCTGAACTCACCTTGCAATTCCAAATCCAAATAGTTTTTCACTGTTCCACAGATGTTTTGTTCTTTTACTTGCATGGAAATAGCACGCAAACCGTTGGGGGAAAAAATAGTGTGACTGTGGGAAAGGAGCTGATACAAATTTAGGTCAGATATTCCACACCTGGGCTGGTTTTACACACACCAGATACCTCAGGGAACTATACTGTGAAGTAATATTGAAGACAATATTTCTAAACACCTGTCAAATAATCAAGAGATTTTAGCCACAACAATAGATTATTTTTGGCAGCACTCTGCCATTAGGATCTGAACCAAGAGAACGAGTTGACACCAGAATAAATGGAGTCATTTTCATTATTAATTGGTATTCATATTAATTATCTAGACTACTTATTAATTACACCTCATTGTCAAGTGTGATATTAATGATTTATGACAGTTGTTAGTGATACAATATAAGATCAACTTTACCCTTTTAAAGGAATCCTGCCAGTTTTCTTTCTCAGCTGTTGCAAATCCAACACCCCGACTTTCCACTCCTACACTCTCCCCTCAATATACACATGCCGTGGACTAGGTTTTCGGGGACACGGAGCAGTGGCCTGCCCTCTGCCAGTACCTTCGCCCCTCCTCTGGATTGTGGAGTCTGCGTTTCTGTTTTCTTGGCCTATGGGTTAGCTAACTAATGCTTCTGCTTGGGCCACCGCCCACAGGAGGGGGAGCCAGTGACAATCCTTGCTCTGAGGTGTACCACGGACCCCATGCCAACTCAGAAGTGGAGGTGAAATCGGTGGTAGATTTCATTCAAAAGCACGGGAATTTCAAATGCTTCATCGACCTGCATAGCTACTCACAGCTGTTGATGTATCCGTATGGGTACACAGAAAAAAAGGCCCAAGATGCTGTTGAGCTGGTGAGTGACGGGCTGCCTCCCAGCCATCCCCAGGCCTGCTTCACCCTCTGCTGCCGCCGAGGTGGTCATTCTGCAGCTTTATGGGGCAAGTCCGGGAGCCTGGGCTTATCTCCTTTAGGGCTTGGTCTTCCTTCCCTGCCTATCAGGCCTACTGGGAATAGGAAGAAGATGCTGCCCTTATTTCTGTGTTTGCCGTAACTTCCAAGAGCCACACCTCCTAATCCCTGCCTTCCCTTCTCCCTTGGCTTTCTGACCAAAATGTATTGCAGACCCACTGCTTGCCAAGAGCCGGGGGCAGCACTGTGTTGGGAGAGGAGGAGGTGCCCCTCACCGCAGTTGGGGGCGAGTGTAAGTAGCGTGCCGGCCACAGCCTAGCTGTGCTCTGTGTCACATGCAGTGACTCACCCTAGGAGGTGACCAGACAGAGCTGGGCCCGCACCTGCAGAGTGACTGCAAGCCTCCCCCTCTGTGCTGGTTGGCTGCAGTGCGTCCCTCTGCCCAGGACCACCGCTGGCCCATAAACCTCTGAGCAGATACAGGGCTCATGGTCAGGTGTGAGCTGGATTCTGGTCTCAAGTGGGCGTGCTCTGCGCAGGACGAGGGCAGCCCTGTCTCTTCTCTACTCCGCTCTGGGATACCCAACTCCTAGAAGGTTTTTTCCTTAAACATACTTGGCCTTCCCTCATGTTCATGAACATGACATCTCCCCTTAGGACAGGTGATGATGGCGGTGCCAGTACTAGATTCCTAATGGGCTTCGAGCAGCCCTACAGGTCTTTGGAGAGCTTAAGTCTATAATACACAGGCTTCCAGGGTGCATGTGTGTCTTCTCTCACCTCTCTCTCTCTTTTTTTAAGATTTTATTTTTATTTATTTCTAGAGAGAGTGGAAGGGAGGGAGAAAGAGAGGGAGAGAAACATCAATGTGTGGTTGCTTCTCACATGCCCCCAACTGGGGACCTGGCCCGCAGCCCAGGCATGTGCCCTGACTGGGAATCGAACCAGCGATCCTTTGGTTCGCAGGTGGGCACTCAGTCCACGGAGCCACACCAGCCAGGGCTCTGACCTCTCTGTTTTCCCCTTCTCCCAAACTGGAAGTAAAGGATGGGGGATGTGATGGAAGAAGGAGTTCCCCTCAATTTGGAATCAGGCCTTGGTTTTAGTTGGAGGGGAAAGAAGAGGAGACCAGAAGGGAAAATAGAGGGAGGTGGTGCCGAGAATTTTCCAAACCATTACAGCGCAGAAGAGATGAGGAATGTCAGGCTGCCCCATCCAGCCTTTCTCACTCTGCTGACTCCCCTTCCTAGGACAAGGTGGCGAGGCTCGCGGCCAAAGCGCTGGCTTCCCTGTCGGGCACTCAGTACCAAGTGGGCTCCACCTGCACCACTGTCTGTAAGTATTCCTTCATCATTTAGGAACGGCTTTGGGAGGAAACCTGAAATGGAGAAAGAGAGCTGCAAGTTAGACCGCCTACGCTGTGATCTGATTGTTTTTGTTGTTAGTTGATTGTTTTTGTTGTTAGTGATAGACTGAAGTTATGTCAAGCCTGTGTGGTAATAGCTGTCGCAGGCAGTCATCTTCACCGACATCATCCCTGCTGCCACGCCTTTTATTATGTGCCCACGATGACTCGTCCCACCGGCGTGGCAGAGTCTGCGTTCCTTATCTCCCACTAAAGATCCTGACACGGTTTATCAGAAATTCCTCAAGCTTCTCAAAAGAAAATGGAATGATTTTTCCATTCTATTTTCTTTTCTCCTACCCCTCCCCGCCCTGCCCCATCATTCCATTTTCATCGAAAACCCACCTTTGGGTTGACAGGTAGTGGGGTAGATGAAATCCCCGCACCTTGCGGTCAGAAATGGACACGTGTTGGGGCGTGGCAGGGTGGGAGTTGGCTTAGGGCGTCTTCCCAACAAGGGTTAGCATCAAGCCAAAAAACAAAAACAACCAAAACTCTACCGAGACCCCAAATCTGAAGATGGTCTTGAGGCTCGTTAGCCAAAACCTCAACCTCATTTTGAGGAAGTAGCCTCTGTTTTGGTTTCTCAGTGGAGTGTTTTCATCTGAGCAATTCACTGTGTTCCTGCTGAGATCCTTCCTGTCCCTGTATTCTGTGAGTTTGATCTCTAAATTAAAAAATTGAAGAAAATGATCATTCTCCAGGACCTTAGCTCTCAAAGAGAAATGTGCACACAAATGTGGGAGCTGGCTCTGACCCCTTTTAAGCTGGTGCCCTTCTTTTTCCCGCTCGTGCCTCCCCTGTAGTTTCCAACAGCTGATCCACCCTTAGCACCCCGGCAGACTTGCCGATACTGTATTTCTTTCTTCTTCCAAACAGTACCTCACGCTCCCGCCTACCTGCTTTACCTCCCACTCCCCATTCCCTTCGGTAGTGCTCCTCTGGGAAGATTCCCCATCTCACCTCCAGGATCCTCTGATCTTGGCACTTGTCTGTGCTTAGGAAGCCACCTAGCTGCATGTGGCAGTCAGCATGATGCTGGTATTTGTGTTGCTAATTGCAGCAACAATCCATTAATTATTCATGGTTTATTATTATTAGTGTTGTTAAATGGGAACTCCTCAGAGAATAAGCACATCAGGAGAGTTTCTCCACCCTCTGCTTAATTAGTCAGAACTGAGTCCCAGACCAAAGGGAGCTAAACAGACTTGGTAGGAGCCTTTTGAGGAGGACCTCTCAAAAGATCTTTGTGGGTCACCAGGATCCTGGATTCTGGGTCACATAAAGTTGAAAAAAGGGCCTTGTCTTCTCACATCCAACACATTCTTCTCCAAATCAAGAAACACTCATCAAATTCCTCCAGCAGAAGAAGAGGAAGACTCTTTTGAGTGTTGTCCAGGAGACATAATACAATATGTCCTACCTCTTTCAAGAGCCCATCCTCCGTACTCCTGTAGGGCTCTCCAGCCCGGGGCCCCCGGGCCGCATGTGGCCCGAGATGGCTATGAATGCAGCCCAACACAAAACCCTAAATTTACTTAAAACCGTTTTTTTTTTTCTTTTGTGCTCACCAGTTTTCGTTAGTGTTTTTGTATTTAATGTGTGACTCAAGACAACTCTCTTCTTCCAGTGTGGCCCAGAGATGCCAAAAGTTTAGACACCCCTACAGGCTTTTGTCTGCCCTCCTTGCTTTCCAAACATGTAATCAACTTTTGTATAATAACACTCCCACCCCATGGGTTATGGAATATGCTACACGGGTAGCTGATGTTCCTCCTTCCAGTGCTGGACCTTTTCTTAGGTTTACCATTTTAGATGAAAATCATTCCAAAATTGATGAAAATCATTCTAAAATGGATTTCGACTTCGCTGTCTTTTAAAGCAGAGCATGCAGAAGAGATTCAAACTCCTTTCTTTGTCACTCGGTGGCCTCCTGAATATCGGTTATGTCACGTCCTGAAGGCCGAAGGTGCCCTTTTGGACTAGTTAATCCCGGGGCTGACGTGCCCTGGCTTGTTTTGCTTCTTTAATTCTCGTGTCTGCTTTTTAGAGTTGTCACGTCTCCTTCTTCTGGTCAGACTGTGCTGCCTCCACCTGCCTCCAGCAACCCTTTCCTTTCCTCTTTCTGATTTTGATCTACTAAGAGCTTGGAAACAAGTTCTTTGGGCTGGTTTGGCTCATTAGATTGTGGATATTAAGGGTGGTCAGACAGCACCATGTATAGTCACAAATGACTGGTAACCTACAGAAGACTGCTAAGCATCTCAACGTCCATCAGTAGAGTGCTGGATAAAAGCACATTCGGTGCATTCATCAGGGAAACAGCCCTTAAATGAATGAGGTGGGTCTGTACGTGCTAACAGGCAGTAACCTTCAGATGTTAGTTAAAAAAACACAGTGTGCAGAACAGTGTAAATAACATGTTCCCCTCTGTGTGTGTGTGTGTGTTTAAAGAGTAGATGGGCTCTGAGCCGGGACCCAAATAAAGTGAACTTCATGAACTTGTTCACTTTGCTCAGCAGAGGTCTTCTTGTCTCCTTCCTGAATTTTAAATGTGTCCTGAAATCCTTGGGCTTGCTGTGCATGTAACATCTAGAAACCTCTGGTGCCACAGCCTGTTTTTAATTCAGCATTTTCTCAGAATAGAGGAAGGCTATAGGAACCACACAAGGATTTCAGAGAGTGTGGGAGAGCATGTTCCCTAACCCCAGGGAGAAGGTAGTCTCAGTGGAACCAGCATCTCTAGAAAAATCACAAATGGTATGAGAAACAATCCTCAAGAACAATGGAGAAACAAAAGGACCTGTATATTTATTTAACTGACGTATAACATGCCAAATGGATGAGAAGTATGTTGAGGAAAGCATGGGCTTTTCATCAGATGCACTTGGGTTTAAATTCCACCCTTGCCATTTTCTATCTATATTTTCTTAGAAAAATTACTCATTCTGAGCCTGGATTTCCTCCCCTGAAAAACAAGGACAATAACATCTACCTTCATTGGGTTTTTAAAGGTTAAATTAGGTTATAAATGTAAACTTTCCAGTATAATGACTGGCTCATGGTAGATGTACAATAGATGATAGCTGCTATTGACCTCATTGTTTTATTAATCAATATCATCTACACTTTGTACTCTTACCCAATTTCTGCTCTAACATAGTTTGAGGAGAAGCAGAAAAACAGGTCTGTTGCCTTTCCCCAGGCTTTTGGCAAAGCGCAAGTCCGAGGGCCGTGCTGCCTTCTCTCTGTGCATGATGTCTTTTGCTATGTAAAAGGTAGCTTAAAACAATAGACGTTTATTTTCTTAACCTGTTTCGGTGGGTCAGGAATTCAAGAGCTGCTTAGCTGGGTGGCCTTGGCTCAGGGTCTCTCATGAGGTTGCAGTCAAGATGTCTTCCAAGGCCACAGTCACCTCAAGGCTGGACTGGGCCGAAGGGTCGGCCTCTATGGTGGCTCCCGCAGGTGCCTGGCGAGGGGGTGCTGATTGTTGATGGGAGGCCTCCCTTCTTCACCACGTGAACCTCTTTTTGGGGCTACTTGAGTGTCCTTACAACATGACAGCTGGCTTTCCCCAGAGCAAGTGACTGGAGAGAGAACAAGGTGGAAGCCACCCTGTCTTTAATGGCCTAGCCTCGAAGGTCACACACCTACATTTCTGCAGTCTCTTGTTAGTTACGTGTCAGGTAGGCCCTAATCCGTGTAGAGGGGCACTACACAGGCTGTGACTGCCAAGGGGCAAGGGTCACAGGGCCTAGCTTAGAGGCTTTCTACCATGTTCTGTCTCTGTAAAGATTGGTTTCGAGGGACCTGCAGGGGTCTGTCTGCAGAATGAGTTAGTGACCAGGTGGCAATGTGGATTTAAAATCTCTTGATCTGAGACTAGTGGAGACCCTCGTGGTGCAGGACAGCCTGAGACATATGGATGAGGCCAATGTTCAGTGTCATCGGCCTAATGATTTACAGGCAGGCAGGACTCTGGCCCCTTCTCACCTAACCCTGAAAGGAACTGGGCTTAAAAGGTGTTTTCTCTTCTGATTTGTAGATAAGGCCAGCGGCAGCAGCACTGACTGGGCGTACGATAATGGCATCAAGTATGCATTCACTTTTGAGCTAAGAGATACGGGGCACTATGGCTTCCTCCTGCCGGCCAAACAGATCATTCCCACTGCAAAGGAGACCTGGCTGGGGCTGAAGACCATCATGGAGCACGTGCGGGACAACCTCTACTAGACAAGGAGCCCGCTCCGCCTATACTTACTTATCTCTTATGTATGTACATGCACGGAAGCCACTATTAATCGGAGCTTCTTGCTTCACCTTGGGTCAGAGCCCTCTCTCTTTGTCGGAGACACAGGCCAGCCCCTCTCCAGCCCCTCTCCCTGAACTTCTGCGTTGTGGTGGTCCACCCGAGGGAAGGACTTCTGTCACCTGCCATATTCCTGTCCTGCTGTTGTGCTGAGCCATTTGTATGCCTTTCCTCACACGCCGCTGGTTGGGCAGACCACACAGAGGACCACCCCTCCTGGTGGCTGGCTCTACCTCATTCTTAGAACAAAAGGATATCTGAGGTGGTTCTCTAGCCTCATCCGACCTAGCCAGGCTTGGTGACCTTGCTCTGGTGGGGGTGCCCAGGCAGGTGCTGTGCGAAACAAAGCGATTGGTCTCAAAGTTGATGCAGAAAGAACTTACTTTAATTTATCACACTCCTTCTTGAACATATTTTTCTTTGAAAAACAAATCCTGCAGGATCATCAGTGTAGGTCATCCCTGCGCCCCGCCCCCCACTTAGTTTTTGTTTGTATGATTTTAGTCTGAATACAAAGTAGAGGATCGCTTGTTATCACTGGCCTCTAAATTCCCAGATACTTCAGTTCTGATCACAGTCTTCCTTTTATTATTCAGTGTCACTGAGACCCCCGAAGGGCATCTATGTCACACTATAGGTACCTCTCACCCAGAAACCCTCGATAAAGAGGTGATCTCATAGCAGGATGGGGAAATCATCTCCACCTGTTCTATGGGCTCACCTCCACTGTGCCTTTGAACTTCAAAGATCTTGTCCTCACCCTACAAGTCCTAAATCACTCCTCTGGCCTGGATAATCTCACTGCCTTGGCGCATTCCTGTCTGTGCCCCAGTGTACCTGGTGTTTGCTTCTCCTTTTTTTTTGCTCTTTAAAGTCATCATCTTCTATTTTGCGCCCCAGACCCTGCCTACGAAGGTGGCGAAGGCTGCAGCAGTCAGGCTCCTGCGGTTCGGCTCTGCCTGAGCAGGCACCATCTACGCCCCCCACCCCACCCTTCTTTTTTGCTTTTTCAAACATGTCTGTAAATCTTACCCTTCTGCCTAGGATTTGGGCAGCATCTGGTGTGTACTCAAAAGCCAATAAATATTCAGTGTTGGTCTTATGACTGTCTCCTGTTCTTCGCCTTCACCTGAATAGAACCAAGCCCTGGTTTTGAATATGCAGCTCTTTATAACGTCAGAAGTTAATTTTAATCCCTGTTCGTATCGCGTGACACACAAGGAGACCTTCTCCCTCAGGCCGAGGGGCCTCTGGGGCAGTGTTACCGTGGTGATTGCATTCTGGTCTGGGGTCTAGTTCTTAGTTTTTCAGCTCAGAAGCATGATATTCTCACCGTCCATGTTGATTAGACTCGGGGATGCTGACTCACGCCTACAGAGCTCAGAGGAGGCAGCTGATAAAACCAGAATACGAATTTATTAATTTACATTATGGCATGTAACTATTTAGTGAATTGGATCCTCACGTCGTCCTGAACAGTACATTCTCTCCCTGTAGGCAAGATACATGGGAAGCCAAATTATAATCAGAAGGTTGTTTAGTGAGCGGGGCATGAGAGCAAGGAAAGTTAATTACAGTCTATGATTAGAATTTTTAATGGTATCCAGCGCTAATACATGAAATACCCAATTCCATAACCAGAACACACCTGTCCGCCAGCTCGCTGACTGCCGGAGCTGGCCTGTCGGGGCTGCCTGGGACCTGACGGTGCTTCAGTGGGCACAGCGGTCCTGCCTCTGAGACTCCCTGTGACCTGGCTCTGTCCGTGTCTCCCACCCCAAGACTGCGCTTGTCCTTTAGATTCCTTAAGGGAAAGATTTCTTAAACAGGAACGTCAAGAGCTATGAAAAGAATACCTGCTACTATTAAAAAAATTAAGGACTTCTGTTTATTAAAAGACACCATAGTCCTGGTTGGTGTGGCTCAGTTGGTTGGATTGTCATCCCATAACCAAAAGTTCGCGGGTTCGATTCTCCATCAGGGCACCTGCCTAGGTTGCAGGTTTGATGCAGGAGGCAATTGACGATGTTTCTCTCTCACATCAATGTTTTACTCTCCCTCTCTTTCTCCCTCCCTTCCCCTCTCTCTAAAATCAATAAGCATGTCTTCAAGTGAGGATTAAAAAAAAAAAAAGACACCAGAAAGAAAGTGAGAAAAGTTAAAAAATCATAAATACCCCAATAGAAAAGAGGACAAAATATAGGAGCAAGCATGTTACAAAAGAGGAAATGGGTGTATCTGATAAACATATGAAGAGATGATTAGTGATGAGAGACATACAGTACAAATCAAGACTGCAATGAGATGACATTTTGTACTCCTTCAGTTTGCAAAAATTAAAAAAGTTGGAAAGGATGTGGATGATAGAGCTCTTACAGACATTATTGGTGAGCATGCGAATTAGTAAAACCACTTTGGAAAGTAGTTTGGCATTATCTTCTAAAATCCATACCTTATGACCCAGCTATGCTATCCCGGGCACCCCACCACCTCCTGCCACAAATTTCTTACACATATACAACAGGAGGTACATGTGAGAATGTTCATAACGACATTGTTCATAAGATCATAAACCTAAAAACCTGAAAACGATTCACAAGTCCACCAGTGGGAGAATGGGTAAACAAAGTGTGGTATTTTCACATACTGAAATTTTACATGACAGTCGAAACAAAGAAACAAAATTTAGTATGATTTTCTTCCTGGAAATTTCCAAATAACAGGAAAAAAAGTATATATACACTTTGAAAACGATCCTCACCCAAGGATATGCTTATACATTTTAGAGAAGAGAGAGAATGGGGGCGGGGGGGGGGGAGAGAAGGAGAGACACAGAGAGACATAGATGTGAGAGAGAAAGATTGATCAGTTGCCTCCCGTACGCTCACCCACCCAGGATAGAACCCACAGCCTTTTGGGGTACATGATGATGCTCCAAGCACCTGAGCTGTATACACCCGGCCAGGGTTATACACACATACTTTTAAGGAAAACATGCAAAATTTGATAAAACAGTGTAAAAAGGGAAGCAAGATGTAGGAGAAATGCCCAGATCCCGTTTTCCGGGTCAAGCGCACTGATCCCGAGTTGCTCTGAGCAGTTCAAACCTCCATCCTTCTCTGGAGAGTTGCCCTTAACCAAATGGGGCCGCCTCACTCGGGAGGCCACGCGTCTGCTTTCCCTCTGTCACCTCCCCAAAGGCCCACCAATGGCTGACTGACTTGGGGGTTCAAAGAGCTCGTCTTTCGCATCAAGGTGGGACCATGCTGGAGTGCAGTGTGTGCTCCGGGGCTCTGAATCCGGTCTCCAGCTGATTCCGCACCCTGGCCTCGCTTTCTCCCCTGCCCCGCCCTGCTTCCCAAGTGCCTCCCCTTTTGAGCGCTCCTTCAATAAATCACCTGCACAAGAATCCCAGCACCTCAGGCTCTGCCTCTAGGGAAATGGACTTTTGACAGTAAGAAACAAAGAACCTGGGACTCCGAATGCTCACTACCTCCGATGAGAAGGCGCAGGGGGATGGAATGGGCCTTATGGTTAGATGAAGGACCCTAGCTTTCGTTGGAGGTTCTTTTTTTCAGGTTTTTATTACATGATTAAAAAACCCCTAATTAAATAGCTACATAAATAATAAAAGAGGGCCATGCAGAGATCAACGATGAGGGAGCCATTAACAAAGGATTAGGATTGATCTACTTTCAAGGACCTAAAATCCATTTTTAAGATTGTTCATAACCCTGGCTGGGTGGCTCAGTGCATCCCATGCACTGGGAGGTCACAGGTTTGATTCCCTGTCAGGGCACATGACTAGGTCGCGGGTTCGGTCCTTGGTCAGGGTAAGTATGGGAGGCATTCAATTGATGTTTCTCTCCCACGTAGGTGTCTTTCTCTCTCTTCCTTCCTCTCTCTCTAAAATCAATACTCATATCCTTCGGTGAGGATTAAAAATAAAAGAAAGATTAAAAATAAAGCAGATTTTTCACACAAAAAGTGTTACTATTCAACATGCGTTTATTGCATGTCTAGCGTGTGCCAGGGACAGTTTTAGATGCTGGTAATACAATGGCAAAAAAGATCTCTTACACGGAATTTCCTTGTAGTTGGAGAGACAGGAAATACTCAAGTAAACAATGAAATGAAAAAATTTAATTTGGGCAATGAGAGCTGCTTTGAATCAAAGAAACCTGGCGTCTGTGATGGGCGGCCGTGAGGCCCCTAGGTTGGGAAAGTTAGAAGAGATGGCGTTCGGGCTTGTGTTATAAATTGTTCTGAACTTTCTCCTTCATATTCTTTTTATACTTGCCCAAGCCACGTGAAGAAGGTGGGCTAGATGTTGTTATCCACACTTGACGGGTGGAAAATTTCAAGAGCAGTATGTTTCCTGCCCAAGACAAATAATTAATATGTTCTATTTCCTAAGCGAAGGCCCCAGTGGAAAAGAGAAAACATGAGCCATAAACATTCATGAACATGACTTAAATTTCTGAAATACATTGAAATTCAAGAGGCTTTTGCATGAAATCAGTCTCTATGGAATTTTCCACTATTACAGACCCGGTGAGCATTGATAATGAAAAAAAAAATATTTTGAGGGGGTTTTTTTGTTGTTTTTTTTTTTGGTTTTTTTTTTTGCGCAGTACTGGGGAGAGGTTTTGCCGAGCCAGCTCCAGGCGTCCCCCCATCCCGGTGAGGACCGAAGGGAGGCCTTCATCACGTAGCTGACGGGACGAAGGATATGGTCCGTGGCTGTGGGTGGGATTAGGTGTCATCTACGTGCTGCCCACTTTAAACGGGAGCCAGTCATTGACCCACCAGCCTACCAAAAGGCGGGCTGCACCCACTTCTGTCTTTTGGATGACAGAGGGTGAGAAGAATGGAATAGCCCAACTCCTTAGCCATGTGACCATGGGCTACGACGTAACCTGTG